ATATATACAGGGTGAGTCATTTTAATAATCAAGGCACGCAAATATCTCGTAAAGTAAGCAAGATGGAAAAAATGTTTTATACAAAAGTTGTTGGGTTCAGAAGGGGACACTTGATGGTAACCTTGACCCTGACCTTGGAGTCCAATTTAAGGGTCATTTTGAGGTCACAAATTAATGTGCTTTATATCAAGGTGGCTATATATATATGGATATGTGCTTTCCAAAAGTTCTTTATCCTAAACGTATATATATATATATACATATTCTATAAAATGTATATATCCTATATAACATACAAAAATCTAAATATAGTAAAAAATTATAAATATTTATTTAATATTATACATTTTACAATTTATGATAATAATATATATAGATCTAATATTTTAAAGTTTATTTAATATATGTACGTATATATATATATATATATATATCTTATGAGTTTTATTACATATCAAATTTTCTCTTCTCGTTTTAATTACGACTTTAAGTAATTTAATTAATAAAATATTAATATATGTATATATATTATATATGTATAGTATCATATTGTTATAAATATATATTGAAAATTGTGATTTTGCTTCTAAATATCGAAATAATTAATATTAATTAAACATATATTAATTTTTGGGCAAATATTAATAGTAAGAAATTTCAGATGATGACCCAGCAAACACCGATATATAATTGTTACATTGCTATAATAAAACGGAATATAACAGGTAATATAACGTGTACGTTACATGTAACATCCATGTTAGTTGTAATTTCCCACTCGTAGATGTAACATTTTAATATAACATATATTACATTGTAGTCATATTGTAATTATATACCAAATAACACATTAATGTATTGATAAGTCAGTGCTATCTTGAGATATAATGACAATATAATTACAATGTAATATATGTAATATTAAAAATGTTACATCTATGAGTGGGAAATTACAACTAACATATACGTTACATGTAACATGCTTGAGTATATAACATTTATATACTGTGTTTGCTGGGGAATTATCTTTAAATTAATCTACAATTATTGTAAATTTCTTCTCCGTTTGTAATGCAATTATTATACAATATAATATTATATATTGTACAGTATATTAAGAACTATATATATATATATATATATATATATATATATATATATAGATATTCCTATTGGAGTTTGTAATTAATATATCTTGCTTATAATAAAGTCAAATATTGAAATATGACTGTAACATATATAAAACCGATATGCATTTTTGGACATATTTATATGAACTTTTTTGCTCATTTCGATGAGTAAAATACGCTCCTGAAGTAGTTTACATTTTTGTTACACTCTGTATATATTCAAGAGAATAATGAACGCGTATACACGCATATCACGTGATCACGATAAGGATATGAAAGGCGCTATACATCATACGCATATATATACACATATATTATATATATATATATATATATATACCCAGCAAACACCAATATATAACTGTTATATTGCTATAACAAACGGAATGTAACAGGTAATATAACGTGTACGTTACATGTAACATTCATGTTAATTGTAATTTCCCACTCATAGATGTAACATTTTTAATATAACATATATTACATTGTTGTTATATTGTAATTATATACCAAATAGCACATTAATGTATTGATAAATCAGTGCTATCTTGGGATATAATGACAATATAACTACAATGTAATATATGTTATATTAAAAATGTTACATCTATGAGTGGGAAATTATAACTAACATATACGTTACATGTAACATGCTTGATGTATATAACATTTATATACCGTGTTTGCTGGGTATATATATATATATATATATATATATATATATATATAAGAAATTAAAAATAAATGTGAGACGACCCAACTGGCTTAAATTAATTCTTATTATTATTCGTTTGATGCCATGTACAAGAAAAGACAACGTTTTGACCTTAGGTTTAGGTCCTTATCAAGTCTAAAATTAACATTAAAAAATACAATAGATGTACATACAAGAATTTTGATTTTTAAGAAAGTAAAGCGCAAACCAAGATTATATAAGAAATGTTTACGTAATTCATTACATAAAATTATAAAATACAGCTCATGGACATAATAGAGTTACATAATTATGTAAAAATTTCTTATATATATATATCATCTTTTATTTGTGTTAACTATCTTTACATTTTCAAAATCTTATTAATATTTATTAATATTTTTTTGTATATTTATACTCTCTCTCTTATATATGTATGTACATATATTCATCGCGAACGTCATCACAACGAATAAAGCGTCATTTATCGCCTAATCACTCAATTATGTAATTCATCAGTTAGATAACACATTGCAAAGCATCTGGTAAGGCGAGTTGCTATTTTCAGTAAAATTGTGGATATTAATTTTATTTGTCGTATTTCTTATTTATAATTAAATTGTACATTTGCGTTAATGGTACATTATAATAATGTTTATTATTTGCTGAATGTAAGTAAATTTGTGCATGAATTATATAGAATTTCGTTATATATATATCCCAGCAAACACCAAGTAATAATTATATAACTGTTATAATTTCCCACTTAACAATGTAAATGCAATATAATACACGTGTTATATTGCATTTATATTGTTGAGTGGAAAAATATAACTAACAATTATACAATTGTTACTTGGTGTTTGCTGGGTATATATATATATATATATATATATATATATATATATGCTATATATTACAATATATATTGTATATTGAGAATATTAAAGATATACAACTGCGATTTGTAAAACAATCATAAAGTACGTGTATATACAATATATATATATATTCTATCAGACATTTTTAAACAAGCAATAATAAGGTATATGTATAATAAATCTAAAAATTAGATTTATTTGAACTATTATATATATATAATAAATATATATAATAAAATATATAATAAAAGTTATTTATGACAAAATTACATGATTTGATTTAATATGAAATTTTGTTTATTAATTTTTAAAAGAATTTAATATTTTTTTATGTGTTTGCTTGATTAAAAAAATAATTTAAAAATATTCTTTAACTGTCTAAAGTCTAAAAGATCAAAATTTAATTAAAGGTTATTTGTGTTAAAATAAAAATACAGATTTTCTTTAAACATGCAGCACAATTAAAATTTATATTATATAGATATTAAACACACACACACACACACACACACACACACATATAAATATATATGTTTATCTTTAAATGCTTAAATGTTTGTTAAGTTGGGTTCGATTTATCGTATATATTTCCGAGATATGATCGCTTTTATAAAATTGACTGTTTTTCTCGATTTTTAACATTTCGCTTATGGCCGTTGAAATAAAAAAAGTTAAAGGATTAAATTAAAAATTTGAACAAAATTAACTAAATTTTTAAACACAAATTAAGTGTATAATTTTAATTTTCAGACATTTTACTAATCGTATGGCCAAAATATGATAAATCTAAAAAATTAATTTTAATTTAAAAAATTAATTTTGGTTATGCCATTCCGTCTGTTTTTTTTTTGGTTAAGTGTTCTTTTTAAGTTTTTATTATCTCTTACTTTTTATTTTGTCAGTTTTTAATATTCTAAGAGAAACAATAATTTTTAAAAATCTGTTCTTAGATTTAAGACTTTATCGTGTCTATTGAACTATTATATATATATATATATATATATATATATATATATATATAGATTTAAGACTTTATCGTGTCTATTGACTAATATATATATATATATATATATATATATATATATATATATATATGCGATAAATCGAACCCAACTTAACAAACATTTAAGCATTTAAAGATAAACATATATATATGTGTGTGTGTGTGTGTGTGTATTTAATATCTATATAATATAAATTAATTGTGCTGCATGTTTAAAGAAAATCTGTATTTTTATTTTAACACAAATAACCTTTAATTAAATTTTGATCTTTTAGACTTTAGACAGTTAAAGAATATTTTTAAATTATTTTTTTAATCAAGCAACACACACATAAAAAAATATTAAATTCTTTTAAAAATTAATAAACAAAATTTCATATTAAATCAAATCATGTAATTTTGTTATAAATAACTTTTGTACATTAAAAGTCAAATTTTATTCAGCTATATTATATATATATATATATATATATATATATATATATATATATATATCCCAGAAAACACAGTATATAAATGTTATATACTTAAGCATGTTACATGTAACGTATATGGTAGTTGTAATTTCCCACTCATAGATGTAACATTTTTAATATTACATATATTACATTGTAGCTATATTGTCATTATATCCCAAGATAGCACTTGACTTATCAATACACCAATGTGCTATTTGGTATATAATTACAATATAACTACAATGTAATATATGTTATATTAAAATGTTACATCTACGAGTGGGAAATTACAACATGTTACATGTAACGTACACGTTATATTACCTGTTATATTCCGTTTTATTATAGCAATGTAACAATTATATATCGGTGTTTGCTGGGTATATATATATATATATATATATATATATATATATATATATCGGACATATATATATATATATATATATATATATATATTGTTTCGCGTCAAAAGGCACACCGGGCCGCTCATTTTTCACTTAAGAGTAAAGGGTCGTATTAGGCCTTAAATTTTAGCTTTTTTCACATCCCAGCAAACACCGATATATAATTGTTACATTGCTATAATATAATAAAACGGAATATAACAGGTAATATAACGTGTACATTACATATGTAACATCCATTTTAGTTGTAATTTCCCACTCATAGATGTAACATATATTACATTGTAGTTATATTGTAATTATATATCAAATAGCACATTGATGTATTGATAAGTCAGTGCTATCTTGGGATATAATGACTATATAACTACAATGTAATATTTGTAATATTAAAAATGTTACATCTATGAGTGGGAAATTACAACTAACATATACGTTACATGTAACATGCTTGAGTATATAACATTTATATACTGTTTGCTGGGATAGAATTGAATGCCGTCTGGTGAATTTGGATAAATTCAAAATGGGAACCATGGTGACGCTATTTTCGCCAAAATCGCCAAAATTAAGCAGAAAAAGACGGATAGCGTCACCATAGTTGCCATTTCAAATTTATCAAAATTCACCAGACGGCATTCGATTCTGCGTGTAAAAAGCTAAAATTTAAGCCCTAATACGACCCTCTATACTCTTAAGTAAAAAGTGGGCAGCCCGATGTGCCTTTTGACGTCCGATCGGACGTTTCACGGAGAAAATTTTATATTAATTTGTAATATAATTTTAAATTATATTTTACTATTTTTTGCATTATTGGTAGACCATCATGACTTTATAGAATAAATTGAAGTATAACAGCAAAACTTAAAACCAACATTCATCTAATATATTTTATCATTTGCCATAGTAAAAATTCGTAGGTATAAAAAGTTATCTTTATTATGTATCATTTAAAGTATTATAATATATGTTAAACCTCTTTTTTTTACTATATAGTATCGTTTGTGAGTTGATCAGAATAACACATCAATAACTTATTAAAAAGAATATAACTGAGTTGTTATAAGAAAAATTATATTTTGATAGCCAGAATAAATTATATGTAAGTACTTGTTTTTTATGATAATTTATGAGATGACTCACATGGATATGATAGTTACTTAAGATTAACAATTTAATAATAGGGAACTTTTATCGACTCCTGATTATAATTCGGAAAAAATTCAATAATAAAAAGATGGACAACGAAAAAGTAGACAGTAAAGGCTTCTGCAATCTAATATCACCGTAAAATCCAAAATGACAATTGTAAAAGCGAGAGGAAATATAGGCGATTAGAAATCTGCGTTAATTTATCGATAGAAAATTAAATATGTTTTGACCAAATCTGGAGGCTTAATGTAAATTTATATTATCTATTAACATTATATTATATTGAGAAAGACTGCCATGCAGTCGAAACGTATATGTACATGTAATTTAAATTTAGTTTTATTTAAGTTTTTTTAAGATTAATAAATGTTTTAATTTTTTAATAATGTGACATTCGTAATTTGGTTTGCTCGTCAAAGTTGGCCTTTGTTTCTTATAGTATTCCTTCCTTTTTTAAAATTATAAGAATAATATAAAAAAATTTTGGAATATAAGAATTTTAAAAAATTGTAAATATTTTTTATATGGTATAAAATATATTATTAATTACAGTTCAATTTAAGAATAGAAAAAATTTAATTATTTTATTTAATATAAAATATACATACTGCATTATAATTGTGCAAATAATTTTGATTGTTCTCTGTATACACTTTAGATCAATCAAACAATTTAATGAAATTATAAAAATGACATATGGAACTAAAGACAGTATTCTAAAAGAAGCTGCCATTCAGATTGGTGCTGGAGGATCAGCAGGTTTCATTGAGGTCTGCATAATGCATCCAATGGATCTTGTTAAAACACGTTTTCAGTTTCAAGTAAAGACAACAAAGGCAGATCCATTGTATTATACAGGTGTATTATATATACATATAATTGTATTATATATATATATATATATATATATATATATATATATATATATATATATACATATAATTATATATTTCTGTATTATATTTAAATATTATACTTTATGTAAAAAATATAATAACAGTTGTATTAATTTCATGTATGGTATTAGATATATATTAATATTTTAGGCATTTATGACTGTATGACTAAAATGTATAAAACTGAAGGACTACCGGCATTTTGGAAAGGGATTTTACCCCCAATAATTGTAGAAACTCCCAAACGTGCGGTTAAAGTGAGTCCATTATTGCTTGATATTTAAAAGTATATTTTTATTTGTATAAAGATTACAATTTTTTTAGAAGTTATAATTTTTTATTTGTATAAAGATCACAATTTTTTAAATTTTTTAGTTTGTATATAGAACACAATTTTTTTTGTAGTTTTTTACATTTGAGCAATACAAACGATTTTTCTTATTTGGCGCCAGCACACCTTCTCCATTGGTAATTATTGGAATACAATTATTAATATATTATACATTATTAATTTTCTAATTATATATAAAATAAACAAGTTTACATTTATTTACAGACATTTTCATGCGCTGGTTTCTTTGCTGGTGTTACAGAGGCTATATTAGTTAATCCTTTTGAAATGATCAAAGTAAATCTACAAACTAATCGGAAGCACATCAAAGAGAGTCCATCAACTTACACAGTAACAAAAGAAATTATTTCAAAGCACGGTTTTGGATTAAATGGCCTGAATAAGGGACTTACAGCCACTATATTGAGGAATTCAATATTCAATGCATTCTATTTTGGTTTTTATCACTCCGTTAAAAGATGTGTGCCAGTTAAGAAAACACCTTGGTTGGAATTTTTAACTCAAGTAATTAATAATAAGGTTTAATCAAGTAATTAAATTTAGACAATTATATGCATCTGTTTTTTTACAGTTTGTTGTAAACATGAACAATTTTTTTTAGATTTTTATAGGATTTTTATCAGGTACTATAGGTTCCTGTTTAAACATACCATTTGATGTTGCCAAAACTCGCATTCAGGGACCACAAGATAGCACACAACAATATAAGGGAACATTAAATGCCATACACATTATTTACAAAAACGAAGGGTATTAATGAATGTTATTTATTTACTGGTAAAAATTGTGAAAAATTTCAGTTGCTCATATATAATATATCATTCTAGATTCAGAGCCTTATACAAAGGCTTAGTACCAAAAATTTTAAGATTAGGTCCAGGTGGTGCTATTATGCTTGTAGTGTATGACCACATGAGTGTATTTCTTACGAATAAGTTTAAAGATTAATTTTTATATAATATTTTGATATTATATATATTTTGAGATATAATGTGAAGTAATTATAAGTTATTTTAAGAAGATGCATTTAATGTACATATATGTAGAATAAAAAATCAAATAATTTTATAATATAAAGAAATAATTACCTATTCTGTGTATCAAATAAACTTTTTTTAATAATTTTAATTCGTCTTCTCTCTTTCTTAATATAATTAAAAAGTTTTTATATATTCAACATAAAACAAATTAATCGTCTAAAACAGAATCTAGCCATTTCTCTAAATCGATTGGTTTAATTGGAGCATTTTTTGGTTTTTCTTTAGAGTCTGCAATAAATTAATATTTTAATTTCCAAAAAATAAGAACTTAAAAAATTCTTATTTTTAAATTCATTAGCGAGGAATTAAAAAATTCAATTATGATAAATTATCTTATTAGCTTATTAAATTCAAATTTATATCAATTATAATAAATTGTCACTTATTTAATCTAAAATCTTACCATTATTATAAGATGTGGAAATAAGCGGTGCAATTGTTGGATTACTCTGGATTGGTTCCTTTAAAGATAACAAAAAATCTATATCTTCTTCTAGATTATCGATACTATCTTCTGTTGAATATTTCATATTTGCTGTTGATTCCAAACTTTTTGATTGATTAATCTTTGTACTTTCTTTTATTTCATTTTTCAAATGTACAACATCTGACAAATTCGATATGTTTGAGTGAAAAATTGTATCGTAAGTGATCTTGCCCTTCTCAGCATCATTATTGATATTTGTCAATTGATCGCTCTGAAATATGATTGTGTAATGTAAATCATCGAATCATTTGCAGTCATTTATTTAAAATAAAAAAATTATTTACGACACTACATATAAAGTCAGTATACTTATTCTAGTATGGATAGATTTTCTCCATAAAATTAGAGCATTTTATTTTTGTTAATGGAAACTTGATTTTTAAAATAAGTTCAATTTTAAACAGTACGTCACAAATTAGATACTATTATAGTTTATTAAGAGTACTATAATATCAAATCAGAATGTTAATGCTTAGTGCGATTAGAATTTCTTTGATTTGCAAAGTACACTAATATCTTACAGATTGTATAACTTGAAAAATTTGAAAGTAGGTAAATGGTTAAAAGTCGCATAAAACAAATCAAAGCAAAATACAAAAATTTGGTGTGCCCAAGTTGTATTAGGACGTTTATATATTTTAAACGTGTAAATTATTATAATTTTTTCTATATATAATAGTTTACAAATTTTAACTTTAAATATTTATTTGTATATCTTTGAATTATATTTCCAAGTAGCAAATTGACGTTATAAACGTCAAACTGACGTCATAAACATCAAAATGACGTATGCTTGTGTGTTAGGATTATCAAGTATAAGGCTAACATACTTACTGTGAAATATCTATCATCTACGTTAATATACTCATTGAACGGAATACAATTGATCGCGGCAGATAGCGTTTTTAGATTTAAGGTAAAAAATTCCGAGTACTGCGACGAGTTAACGGACCAAGCCTTTTCCGATTTAAAGACGAAATGTCCGTTTTTTGAAAGTGGCGCGTTTATGAGAACGCCGAAGTCCTTGCCTACATCTTCATCAATTGAAACCTCGTAATCGGCGAAGGATGATGAAAGCTGTCGTAATTTTTTCTTCTCCTTCGTCTTTTGCATTTTCATTTCACGATCACGGAATAAAGGGACAGAACGTAAACTAAAACTAAAGGTGATAGGAGGCCGCCATATTAGTTTCTTAACCTATCTATACAGGGTGTCCCATTTTAATCTATCACACCTCGTAACTATGCAGGGAGCGGTCGTAGAGAAAAATGTTTCAGATAGAAGTTGTAGGGTTTAAAGGAGGTCATCTGATGGTGACCTTAATCTTAAATTTGAAAGTCAATATAAAAATTTTAAATTAAAATCACTACTTCTCAGTACATATTGAAAAAATTATTAAATTTCAATTTTCACTGAAACGGCTGTGATTGACCGCAGCCAGTCTACAATGAGAGTTTTAAGATTTAAGACTTAAGAAATTAATTAGGCCGGGTCTACAATAGGTATAAGGTTTGTTCGCGTCGCATGCCCCAACATGCTCCTTCTTACTCCAATGCGCTCGTATTGGTGCGCTCCTCGAATTAGACCAATACGAGCGCATTGAAATAAAAAGGAGCAAGTTGGAGCATGCGACGCGAACAAACCTATAGTAAGCTCTAAGGGTGCCGTCACATGAGGCGTAACTTGCGTTAAGCGTATTCTAGTGTAATCTAGTGATTTAATAAAAGATACGCCGTGGTTACGCTATTCTGAAGGACGGCATTCACATAGAGCGTATTGCGCGGAACGTGTAACTAATACAACCAATCGTAGATTAGAGTTTCCGGTGTATGCTTTAACAGAAATGCTAAATAGGACTTGTGATTGGTTTTCGTAACCTACGCGTCCCGAATAATACGCTTCATGGGGAACCGATGCTTTGGGTTCCGTAAAACGCGCACATTTAAAATAGCTGGCAAAGTGACAAGATAAACGAAATATGTAGAAGACGAGAAGTAATTGATGCAGGACAGCTTAGTATTTTGCAGCATTTTTAAGGTAATAATCTATTGTATTTCTAATAATTATATTAAATTTAATCTACTCGCTAGGTCCTATAAAAAACATTAATGCAGATGTCCTTTTTGTCTAATTTTTGTCTTCTCTTCTCAACGTCTCTTTTGTTCTCTTAAATTCTACACCAGACATTTACACAGAAATAATTTTGGCCTATGGTGCTCACCTACAGAGAAACCTGATTTAGGCAGCAGCGAGAACGACGACAACAAATTACTGACGGATTTCGAGTAAAGTTTGAGTTGCGCCGCGAACTCCGGGCACCTTCTCCACCATTTGTGTTCAGCTGGATATGGAAAGTCTGGTGATCAACGCGTTGCTATAGTACCATCAATTCACGACATAGACGAAACCAGTACGTTTGCGGCGTTTCACAATCAACAGCGTCTGTCCGTTCAGGTCAGCGACAACTTGTTATATTTTTCAATTAATTAATAATACAATTTTTCAAGAATTTGTGCAACATATGTCCTCTCTAATTCATAATGTTATAACTATTGTATATTTGAATATTCCACAGGATATGGCAACAGGTGATGCTGCTGCGATTATTCCCAGCTACGCTGAAATCACCTTTTGCAATCTGGCGTTCAAGACGTTGTGAATCATGGTAAATGCATGATTGATCGAAGTCTATTTATAAGAATGTATTAGCAGACTATCAGCTGATGCACTTTTATTGGTATGTTTGCGCTATTTGATATTTTATTAATTATGTACTATTTTCTGTAATATATATATATGTATATATATATATATATATATATGTACTATTTTCTGTAATATAATACTATTTTCTATACATTTAATTACTATAAAATATACAATAAAATGATACAACAAAATATATGCAAAGAATGTAGTAAACATACTGTTATAACATATTGTCACAACAAAATTTTCATTTACAACGATGCGATCCTTATCTTCCACATAATGCTTGAAACATTTATGCTCGACAAAATTAGTAGAAAATTGGAACAGCCATTTACAATACCCGCATTTGTGCTGAAAAGATTCAAACATGCAATGTAGAAAATAATGCATTATGATGTTCATATTGCTCAAAATTCTAAAAAATTTATGCATGTAAAACGAGAAATCAATATATGTTAAATATTAGAGAAAGAGAAAACAGATTTCAAATTCAAAAAGTACAAAGACTTACTAATATACAATTTAAACTTGAAATTTTATATCACATGTCGTGAGCAGTAGACTGTTTTTAATCGAACGCTATTAAAGCTTATATATTAATAAATTAGATTTTTGTTAACTTACCCTTATTTGATTATTCTTGTTCATCTTATTAATGTATAGGTATGGATGGATTAAAATTAACTTCTTTTTTGTTTTTAGTCTTTGGCAGAAGAACGCACAAATGGAGTTGTGTTTTTTTTTTACAAATACGCATCAGCGTTTCTTTCGCCAGAAATTGAATTCGGCGTAACGATAATAGCGTACAAAGCATAAAATAACTAGACAGAAGCTGATACTGAAATGAGACAATGTGATTGGTCGGCGTAAGTTACCGCAAGTTACGTCTCATGTGACGGCACCTTAACTTGCGTACGCGTAACTTGCGGTAACTTACGCCGACCAATATCTAGTTATTTTATGCTTTGTACGCTATTATCGTTACGCCGAATTTGATTTCTGGCGAAAGAAACGCTGATGCGTATTTGTAAAAAAAAAACACAACTTCATTTGTGCGTTCTTCTGCCAAAGACTAAAGACAAAGAAGAAGTTAATTTTAATCCATCCATACCTATACATTAATAAAATAAACAAGAATAATCAAATAAGAGTAAGTTAATAAAAATTAATTTATTATATAAGCTTTAATAGCGTTCGATTAAAAACAGTCTACTGCTCACGCGACATGTGATACAAAATTCCAAGTTTAAATTGTATATTAGTAGGTCTTCGTACTTTTTGCATTTGAAATCTGTTTTCTCTTTCTCTAATATTTAACATATATTGATTTCTTGTTTTACATGCATGAATTTTTTAGAATTTTGAGCAATATGAACCCATATAGCACCGATTGTTACAGAAAGCTTTCAGAAATATTTCAAAATCATTTCAATGTTTCACATTTCATGTGCAACATTTCTGACAGAATTCTGCAATATGTCATATGAAATGTTGCAACAGAAATGTTTCTGAAATCTATTACATGTGGTAAATTTGAAAAATTAATATATGAGTGTTGCAAAAAGTTTTCATATGAAATAATTTTGAAAACTGGAACGATTTTTTAATATAGTGATTATAAGTGTATATACATATATATATTATATAACAAATCAATCAAAATAGTCGACGGTATGTATTATAAAAATTTATTTTCATATCTTTTATTGTACAGATTAAATGTATATTAATGTATATATATATATATATATATATATATATATATATATAGGAACAACCAATCAAATTCTTTCCCGCTTTTTAGGTTCCGGATGTGGAATGCAGGCAACGACAAGAACAGCTTGCTAAACCGCATAGACTTGGACTGCTATGATAGCACTACTGTCTACTGGTTCTAATAAATAGTAAAGTTTTATAAAGGAATAATATCTACTTATTTGATAGAATTCGAAATCAGACATAAAACTTTCAAGGTATTATTTTCATGATTAATGTTTCAAAGTACCGAAAAAAGAGGTTATAACTGCATTTTAACATGTATATTTTTGGATACTTTTAACCGGTGCATGCTTTTCTACATAATTTTACTCTGTATATTTGTCATTATTTAAACTATTTTCATTTTACATATGATGAATTTGTCTAATTTTAATTTTTGTTCGTTCTTGAATTTTGAGGTTACATGTGTAAGTACAGATTTTTAATAATTTCCTTTATATACTCTATATATTACATAAAATTCTTTGCATTTAAAAACCTTAACAAATTACAATATATGTTCGAGCAGTTAAATTATAATAAATGCACGAGTACATTTTATTAATACAATAATAAAAATAAAATAAAACGTTTTTATTTAACAGGAGCTTTAGAACCTGATGCCATTTCAACTATATAGAAGGAAGTTTTACATAATATATATCATTATATATATTCTTATTATTAATAGTTTTCCATCTTCGCTTTACTTTTACGGTATGTGTATATCCTTTTTTCTAATTTTCTTATAAGATAAAATTTTGGCCAAAAACGTGTATATAATTTTACTGTTCAAATGGATAGAAAACGTAAAAAATATTTTTCACTTTCGGAAAGACATATTCGTAGAATTATTGTAAATAAAACTGTTTCTGATTTATTAAATGTTTCAAATTTTCCAAATATCAATGAAAATAATTTTGAATCGAGAGATGATGAATTACCACATCATAATACAACTAATAACTTAGAGTCAATAGAAACATTTATTAGCAGTAATGAAGAAGAATGTGTACATAATCTAATTAATAGCAATACAGTAGATGATTTAGAATCGAATGAAGAACTGATAGAGAGTGATATTGATGATGCAAATACAGATGATAATACAAGTACAGAGTTAGATGAAGAAACAGCAGATTATAATATGGAAAAACGTCTCATGACATGATAATTGTTATTCTCAAAAATTTTATTAGTAATCATCTTTCAACGTTATATTGCTGGAATGGAAAAAGTATGAAGAAAGAGCCGTTCAAAGATTTATTGTTAACTAAATGCATAAAAAGTATGTTAATATTTAAACTACTAATTTCTCGTTTTTCAAAATAAATAAAATAATTATTTCATTATATTGTATCAATATAATTAAATAATTATTTTATATGTAAGCACGCAATATTTTCAATAATATAATTTTGAACAAAAGGTAATCTCTATATTAATAAAATAAATTTCCTTGTTTATCTAGAATGTGTTCATGCAAAATTCGAAACGGATGACAAACAAATTATCGAAGTCATCTCTAAATGGTTCATCCAGGGCAAATTACGTCATGACAGAGATGAGTAAGTAAATATTATTAATGAAAAGTGAGATTATTTATAAATGTATATATATAATATTGCAGTACTTATTAATCGTTGTATTTATTCAGAGAACGATTACAACGAAAACAAAAAGAACAGCCATCGGAATAAATGTTTCGCTTTTAACTTTGCTTTTTAATTTAAAAAAGAAGTTACTTTGTGTTCTAAAAATTTATATTGTATTACCTGAACAAATAATATATTATTCAAACAAAATTCAAATGTTATTTTGCATAATGTTTGATTTATATTATAGTAAAATACTATTTTTTTATTTAGAAAAAAGTTTATTTTATGTTTGAGAATTTTGTTTCAAAGTTTATTTTTTTTAGAAGAAAGTTAAAATTATCAAATAAATATAATTAGAGTTTAGCAAGTTCACTTAAAATTCATTTAAAAATTGTTGGAAGTTTTAATTATGTTATTAGAATAACAATAAACAATGTTATCCAAATGGAATTCAAATTTTTACTTTATTGTAAAAAAGTTTTTATTTTATGTGATAACTATTTTTATTTTATGTAACGATTCAACTATTAAAACAATATACTACTCAAATAAAAATTTAATAAAAATTATAAATATGTTTCTTCTATATCCTAAAGCTAAAATACCATATTATTATAAGTAGAATTTATATATATCCTAGAGATCTAACATTCGACCTTTTAGTGAGAATCATTGACAAAAAATTGCAACACTGAGCTAAAAAAATGTACAACGTTAGATATATTTTTTATACTCTTTTTAGTGTAAATTTTGTCGTATATTTGTGTGCAATAAATATAATAAATTTAAATATTATTTCTGAAATATATATTTTTTTATTTGAATAACAGTTTTGTAATATGGGCTGCTTTTGCGACAAAATCAAAATAATATAATTCAGATTAAAATGATTCTGCACTGTGATTAGTGAAATCTGAAATTTCATGGAATCTCATTGAAATTGTATTCAATGAAATTTCAGATTTGAACAATCCCAGTGCAGGATCATTTTAATCTGGATCATATTTTAATTTTGTCGCGAAAGCAGCCATGTTTGCAATATTATAAAAAATTTTCAGAATTATTTAAAATAGTTTTCAGCAATATTTCAGAAACGGTTCAATCATTTCAGTAACCTTTTAAGAATATTTCAGAAAAGTTGCAGATTTATTAGTAACCTTTCAGCAAACTTTTTATAAGGTTTCAATAAGGTTTCTATAAGGTTTCAAGTGCAAGAATCGCGGACATTTTGCTATTTCAGAGTTGTCTCAAAGTTGTTGCAGAAACATTTCGCAATATTTATGAAATGTTTCAATCTGTCACATGAAATATTTTTGAAATATTTCTGAAAAGTTTCTGTGCTGTATGGGAACATCATAATGCATTATTTTCTACATTGCATGTTTGAATCTTTTCAGCACAAATGCGGGTATTGTGAATGGCTGTTCCAATTTTCTACTAATTTTGTCGAGCATAAATGCTTCAAGCATTATGTGGAAGATAAGGATCGCATCGTTGTAAATGAAAATTTTGTCGTGACAATATGTTATAACAGTATGTTTTCTACATTCTTTGCATATATTTTGTTGTATCATTTTATTGTATTATAGTAATTAAATGTATTTATTTATTTAATAATCCAAGAGAATGCAAAGACTGCGGAAGGTCCTACAGATACTTTGGATAAACTCTTGATTGAAGCAGTGAGGGCTCTCGTCTTCTACATATTTTGTTTATCTTGTCACTTTGCCAGTCATTTTAAATATGCGCGTTTTACGGAACCCAAAGCATCGGTTCCCCATGAAGCGTATTATTCGGGACGCGTAGGTTACGAAAACCAATCACAAGTCCTATTTAGCATTTCTGTTAAAGCATACACCGGAAACTCTAATCTACGATTGGTTGTATTAGTTACACGTTCCGCGCAATACGCTCTATGTGAATGCCGTCCTTCAGAATAGCGTAACCACGGCGTATCTTTTATTAAATCACTAGATTACACTAGAATACGCAGGTTACGCTTAACGCAAGTTACGCCTCATGTGACAGCACCCTAAGCCTCAAAAAATTGATCAATCACAGTCAATTATTCCTCTCATTCTTGACTGTGATTGGTGAATTTCTTAAAGCTTAGAGCTTGCTACACCTGTTGTAGATCCGGCCTTAATCATAATTGAGTTTAGAGAAAAATAACGAATATGATTGGTCAATTTCTTAAATCTTAAGGGTCGACAGGTCGGCCGGCCAAACTTGTTGTGAATTGATGTTGGAGACCTCGCGCGGTCACAACGCGAAACTCCGATTTCAGTGTTGCCAACGCCGAGAAACCAATTCTCGGGTTTTATGTAGTGGTGCATGTCTGTACACGTACATAACCATTGCATTGCTCACGCGGACGCACCGTAGAGAGACAAGGACCGATAATCACGTGTTCTCCTTGTTCCTCTACCGTGCCGGTATACGCGAGATGCCGCCTGAAAATGCTTTCTGGCCTTCCGTAGCAGAAGGCAGTAGCGTAGAAAGGCTAATAAGCACCCACTTTTTGAAAATTGTATATATGGTTATGCACATATGTGCGTATATATATATATATATATATATATATATATATATATATTATATATATATTATATATTATATATATATATTATATAAGGGATATGTTGATTATTCTTGATTTCTTTTTGATTATTGATGCTATTGTATAATTTGCTCCAAATACTTATAACGTGAAAGAACGTTGAGTAATGTATAATCAATGCAAGGATGTTCAGTATATCATCCAGTATATAAATTAGAGTTCAAATATATCAATATTAATTTTTTTATAATATATATACAGGGTGTCCCATAATTCGCGAACCACCGCGAATGGGCAGATAGAGCGTGTTAAACTGAATAGAAAAGTCTTGTATCATTTTGCGATATTCGCAATAATTATTGAGTTATTAACTAAAATATCTAAACAAATGAGCGGGTAGAAAGCGGTAGGCCGGACTTGGTGTGCACGTATCGCTTAGTATCAAAAGTATCATCTTACTTTTCGGCGCCACTACATTGGTCGCCGCTCGCTGCATGACGCCGCCTCTCGATCAAATAATGCTTTCTACCTGCTTATTCGTTTAGATATTTTAATAAATAACTCAATAATTATTGCGAATATCGCAAAATGATACAGGACTTTTCTATTCAGTTTAACACGCTCTATCTGCCCATTCGCGGTGGTTCGCGAATTATGGGACACCCTATATATATATTAGAATATAGAGAAATGATAAAAAATATATTTCGGTGATTTAAAAATTTTTTAATATATTGAAAATATTTTTACTACATACACTATATATAAGTGTAAAATAATTCAGAAAATAAATTTAAAAATAAATTAAAAAAAAATCTACATACCAGCTGTGTGCATGTTCCCTCAGGGGCACTATACGGACTCATCCCCGTAGTGTACGGGTGTCGCAATCCCGAGGTACCCGAGCTGGAGTGCGTGAGAAGGATGAATGAGGTGTGATGGGTGTGCAGACCCTAAAAAGGACTTGTCCACTGCACTAGGTGAAGGAAAACACTGACATAACACCCGGGGGGGAGGCCCCGTTAGCTGTGTAAGGCAACCTCCTAAGGGGAAGGAAAACCCCTGACAGAAAAAACCAATTTTCTTTTTCAGAAATATGAGTGGTTTCGAGAAAGAAGTGAACGTCCCGGGTTCGGGTACCGGGAACCGGCGTGGGGGGGGTGTAGGCCTGGCTCCCTCCATGTCGTCATCGAGCGACAGGTCGTCCACGGATTTGCCGGCTGGGTCCGTGGATTGGATCATGACAGCGCCGAGGAAGCAGCTGGAGCGGAAGGTGGATGGCCGGCTTACTAAGTTGGCCATCGCATGGGAAGAACGCGACAGGACTGTCGACCCGAAGGACCTGGCGTTGAGGATTCGTCGGGTTCTTTTGGACGAGACTGTTCGCAGATTTCGGCATATCGGGATGTATTATACATTGTCCGGGTATGCCGAAAAATTTCTGCGAAAATGTGCGAGGGGTGCAACGAAATTTTGCGGGTCCCATGAGTGTGTGCGGCCTTCTGACCACTTGGGATTGAGCGACTCTTCGGTTGCCCTAGAGGCAATAGAGGAGGAGCGCCTCGGGGACTCTGGCTCTCGAGATCCTGGCGAGGAGATTGAGGTGATTCGGAGTGACTCGCCGCGGGACGCGACTCACGAGGTGAGCTTGCTGGGCGACGGTGCGTCGGGTGCTGCCTCTGCCTCCCCTGGGAGGTCCGATGGCGCGCTTGACGTGTCGGAGCCCGGTGTTTTCCATAGCCCGGTGGAAGTCTTTGACAGGGAGCAGGTCCTGTCGGATAACTGCCGGGCTTACGCCGAGGAGATCCGGAGGCTTGAGGGGCGCATCAGTGAGTTGGAGGCGAGCAACCAGAAACTCCGTGAGGAGTTGAAGGTTGTGCGTGGTGCGGTGGCTCCCCTTCCTTCCTCTTCTGGAGAGAAGGAGGCGCCCCCTGCGAAAAAGAGATCGCGGCGGAGGCGGAACAGAGAGGTGGTCTCTGAGCCGGAACTTTCTGGTGAGGAGACCATTTCTGAGGTGCGGAGGACTTTGTTTGAGTCCTCCTCTGAGGCGGCTTCGGGGGGGGATCCACACCAGCAGCTTTTAGCGCGGGTGGATCTCCTCATCGAGAGGCGCATAAGCGGGGCGCTTGAGGACCTGAGGAGGACTGTAGAGTCTCTCAGGTCCTCTTTGGATTCCCGGGAGAGGGGGACGGGTTCGCTTGTCTCTGCCCCCCCGGTCAAGAAGGTCTCCCCTGTTCTCTCCGCGCGCACGCGGGGGGGGGGCGGGGTCGTGGGGGTAGAAAGGGGGTTTGTCTCTCTGGGGTGGGATTGCCCGCTTCGTCGGCGGCTACTGCTGCTGATGGGGATGCGGTGGTCTCGGGCCCTGGAGTGGTTCCGGCTCCGAAGGACGCTGTGGTGGGTCGCGCTGAAGTGACTGCTCGACAGAAGCGCCCGCGGGCTGTGCGTCAGCCAAATTCGGCGACGGTACAGCTGCTGTCGACGGGGAGCAGGTCTTACGCGGAAGTCCTGTCCGAGGTGCGGATGTCCGTGGACCCCGCGGAACTTGGAATCGGCCCAATGTCGATGCGGTTTGGCGTCACTGGGGGTTTGCTTCTGCGGGTCCCCGAGAGGAACGCCGAAGGGAGGGCGGGTCTTCTTGCGGATAAGCTGCGGGAGACTTTCGCAGGGAAGGATGTGGTGGTTTCTTTCCCCCGGAAAACCGTGGAGCTTAGGCTCCGCGAGACTATGGAGGAGGGAATCGCCACACGCGAGGAGATACTGGGGGCACTCGTGTCTCTGGGGGGGTGCGATGCGGAGGCTATACGGCTTGGGGAAGTCCGGTCTTTGCCGCGGTCCCCTTTGAGTACCTTGTGAGTGCGTTGTCCGGTATCCGTGGCCGGGTGGCTTTGTCGTCCGGGGGGTTGAGAGTGGGGTGGAACACTCTAGAAGTAGAGTTGCTTCCTACCCGCCCTCTGAGATGTTTTAGGTGCCTTGAGTTTGGCCACGCGCGGGCTAAGTGTACGTCCGAAGTTGACCGGTCGGGCCTCTGCTACCGGTGTGGTGTTGGGGAACACCGAGCGACGGGTTGCGTCGCCACTCCCCGCTGTCCGACTTGTGCGGACGGTGGGAGGTCGGCTGACCATGTCCTGGGTGGACGGGGGTGTGGTTCGCTCCCCCCTTCACCCGGGCAACGAAATACCGGGGTGCGCGATAGGCGCCAGGCTCCGGGCCGTCCCGACGGGGGACGACCTATGGAGATCGAGGCTGCCTCAGCAGTCGGCTAATGTTTAATGTATTTTGTTATGTCCATAGTAGGTAGCGGCGATGGGTTTGGAGCGTCGGGGAGGTTGCCGAAAGGTGACTCCGCGGCCTCTTTGTCCGCGTCAAGTTTATGTTTTGTCTTAGTTCTTTGTCTCGCGTCAATGGGTGGTGTGAACATCTTTCACCACCCTTTACTTGTGGTCGGCCATTGTGCCTTCGATGTTGGCCTCTAGAGGGCTGGGCCTGTGGCCCTTACTTGGTTTTTTGTGGATCGTGTATATATGTGTATACATGTTTGTCCACGTAGTTGGTGACGTTTTGTGACGTCAATTCATGTAAGGTTTGATGGCTGCGGTCATCTCGCCAACCAGGCCGGCAGGGAAAGGAGTGGGGGCTCCAATTTCATTGCACGTTGGCCTCGGGATGGCCGGGGGTGAGCTGATAGCCCGGCTCACTCTTATTTACCCTCTCGGGGTGAGGGTATTGGACGGCCAACTTAGTTGCCCGGAAATGTATCCTTAACAGGATCAGATCATGGGTGTCCACCGTGAAGTAATGCGTTAGCGGTTCCGCGGTGGACAATACCTGTCAACGACCAGGGGCTATAGTCAGGTTTTAGGTCGGTACCCCGTCCGATAGTCCCTCGGGATACTACGGACGGGAATCCACCACGAAGCCTCCTGGCCCTCCCTCAAGAGTCAGGACGCGAAGTTTGGTTTAGGCAAATTTCCTGACTTAAAAAAAAAAAAAAAAAAAAAGCTGTGTGCATGTGTGCAATTGATTTATTACTTGAAATTTATTTACGGAATTATTTTGCATTTATATATTTATAGTATGTGTAGTTGTAAAATGATTAAAATATTTTCAAAATCAAATATTTAAGTTTATCGCCTATATAAAAAATATATTTCTATAAATATATATATATTTATTTATTTCCAATATATTTTGTTAATAAAAATTAATGTGTATATGCATTACAATATATTCAATACAATATTCTTTTAATTTGAACGAAAATTATAAATAACTTATGCGTAACATATATTTTTGGACTCCTAAATAAAAAATATATTATATTATTTGCAAAAAATAAAATGAAATATTTTTTATTCGAATAGTCTCAACTGCTCTTTTAGCTGAATGTTTAGAAGCAATAAAAAAAATCGAGGATCTACGAAAAATTTAAGTAATTTTTAGGATTTTTTTATATGATATAAAAAAATATATGGTATATAAATTGATTTTTTAATTTTTTTATTATTATTTTTAATTACACACACACACACACAAATAGATTCTTATTATTTAAAATAGTTTTTATTTTTGTTCTTTATTTACATATGCATACATATACAAAAAAATAAAAATAATATGATAGCCTTTTTGCTGACATTATCTCTCAATATTTGCATCCGTGTGCTCACGTATTAGTGTTTGTACCTACATGGACGCTACTACATATGCGATGTAAGAGAGACAAAGATGGAATGATGCTCTCTCCTTGTCAAGCAGTCAGTATGTTACCACAGAAATTTCCCCTGCTCCTTATGAATCTAGTGAGAATCTTATCGTCCAGATATTTCATAAAATAAGTGACATAACTTCGTGAATTTTTTTTTAATATATTCTTTATATAATAAAGCAGTCCTCTAAAAGGCCGGATATTACATTTTCGCTCTTAAAAATTTATAATAAATAAAATACGGACTCGCGGCTAACCCAACCTTACCCGTTCCTAGCTGCGCATTCCCCCAAGTTTATTAAAAATTTTTATTTTTCTTTTTTTCATAAAATAGCTCTTTAGAGGACTACAAATGAGCTTACTGATTAAGAATATCCTAAATTTAATAAGATTCATTCAATATTTTGGCTAATATCTGGAAAATAAGAATCTGTAATTCCCGGCCGATAGGCGTCTCTACCATGTCGCCTGTCGACCCTTAAGTCTTAAAACTCTCATTGTAGACCCAAGCTAAAGCCCATCTACATCTATCGTAAAGTCTGTTCTACAATTGCGTAAACGTAGTTGTAAGTGGTTGTACGGTGTCGTTAAGAGCAGTTTCAAACTGTTAGACGCTCAACGCTCATTTTTAACGTCAAATCTGGTCACGAGGTAGATTGACTTTCACTGGATTGACTGAAATGAGCGTCGAATGTCAAAGCTAAACATAGTTTAGCTTTTATCTCTCGACGCGGGAATTTAAAAATCTACCATGTGACCAGATTTGACGCTAAAAATGAGCGTCGAGCGTCTGCATGAAATTGTACCTTTATTATATTTATATCAAACAGCAATCATTGCGAAGCTTAATAGTTTGACAGTTGTTCAAAATAATATATATGAAATCAAAGTACATAAAATCAATGGCGCGCGCTTGTTTTGTCTAGTAATTATAAAAGAACGATATAGTTAACTATAGTAATGCTAATAGTAAAATTATTTAACGAAAATTTGATTATACTTAAAAAAATATACTTTATTTTCTCGCTTTAAATTAAATTAAAATTTTATGGAATGATTTATAACACATTGGGATCTACGAATTCGAGGATTTTTGTTTTTATTGAAAGCTGGTTTTATTATTATATATTTTAGATCAGGTTGATATATATATATATATATATATATATATATATATATATACACACACGGATTTCTAGATATTTATATATATCATACTTCTACATAAGATTAAAATCTATAAATTTGTAAAGAGACGATAATGCAGAATTATTGAAATAGATTAATCTAGAACTAGAATTCCTTTTACCATAAATGTAAAAATGATTATAGTGTCCCATAAGAAAATTGCTAAAACTATATAATCAGTGTCATTTTTTAATGCATGCAGTAGAGAAAACAAAATTGTGTTGAAAAGAGGAAATTGCAGTTTTTAATGAATATAAATAAAATGTTTGTATACCAGTTTATTTTACTAATAAAAAGTAATGAAAAAAGTGCTAATAATCACATAATCTAATGATAAATATTTTTAACAGTGCCAGATTTAATAGTAGTTATTTAAAAAATAAAAAATGCCGTTAGAAAAAGTTTTTACGAATTTTCGTAAAAGAACAGAAGTTTGTACAAATTCAAATGGTGCACACTGAAAATATTTATCATTAGCTTATATATGTGATTATTAGCACTTTGTTTCAATAAAATAAACTGGTATACAAACATTTTTATATCCATTAAAAACTGCACTTTCCTCTTTTGAACACAATTTCGTTTCCTCAATAACTGCATGCATTAAAAAATAATAAAATTTAGTTAGGATTCTTGACAATGTGAGCAATTTCCTATTGGACAACTTGTATCACACAGATCATAATGTAATAAAAAGAAAAGGGATTAGTCGGTCATGGTAGAAAAACATTTATTGATGAAATATGATAGTCTGATTATTATTGGATAGTTATTGGATAGATAAAATTCATAATAGAACGATGTTTTCCTGGAGAGGTCTTAGGATGGTGGAGGGAGGACATGGTAGAGGCACACAATTTTTTATTTTTATTTTCAATATATATATATATATATATACACACACACATATACATATATATATTTCTTTGATGCGAATAAAATGGCGTATAGCAACCAAACCAACTGATAAAGAATATGATCGGTATAAAGGTTTGGGAGCACCTTACGTTCATCCCTATATGAAATATATATTTCGATGCTTCTTGAATATTTTCGGAAACACGTTCTCGGCCCTGTTTCACCCCCAACCAAACGATTTCGTTTCCGTCCCGGTCGGGGGCTCTGACGATCAACTCGACTTGTCTTCGGACTTGCATTACTGAGCGCTTGAAGTTCTCTTCTAAGCTTGAGACTTCTCAGCCGGAAATGAATTGCAGATCATATTCTTTGTCACAAGCAACCGAGAAAACCTTCAGATTCTTGACAATGTGAGCAAGATAAACGTGTCTTCGGATATCTTGTCTTCAATTTTTCAAAACTCATTTTTTCAGAGCGAGAGAAACTTCAAACTTCCCTCTATCATCCAATACCTCTTGATTCAAAACCTTATAAACAAACAAACAGGTTAGAGAACTTATTTTTATTTGAGGTTCATTATTATTTTTTTTTGTTTTTTTTCGTTTCGTTTTCTTGCTTTTTTTGGTGGAAAGAATATCGCCATACTTTTTATCAAATTCAGCTCAACAGCTGGAATACAACTGTAAGCTAGCAATCGAGAAAACATCGAGCACTCAATCATATTCCAGCGTTCTCATTATAGCCATTATTTTTACATAATTTAAACCTTATCTTCATATAATACTATTCGGAAGAAATATCAACTTATGAAAATAAGGTTTCGTGTATCTATTCCAACCTTACTGATTTTTATGCAGATAATATGCTATGTTTTTTTCATTTTACTATTTATATTTTGCACTTTGTCAACGTGAAATGTCAAAATTGATGTTTATATAATTATTGCAATTTAAATGTTGCATAACTGAATTTATCTAGGATGCAGAAATTTGGTAAGGTAAGAATAGCAATTATTAACATATTTTTTTAATAAATTCTTTTTTGACCCGTTGTTAGAAGAGAAATATTTGGGTCAAAGTCAAGGGCTCTCCCAAAACACCTGGCCTCTCGCATCACACTCGTGTCACTTAATACCGACCTGAAATTCATTAAGCAACAAAAAACCATGATTTTGTTACGCAAGTTGCGGATTGCTGCTTAATTACTACCGTACGATTTATTGAATGCATTTCTCTGACACGCATCCGTCTGCCATTTTTTCTCGCTAACTTCAAGATTGACTTTGCAATCCAATTAATGTTATCGGGTCGAATTAGAAATATAAGCAGTCTGCAAAAATATGAATCCAAACGTAACATTGCAGCATGAGTATTTTTTATTCTGCAATTCTTAATTTAATAAAAACGCTCATCAAAAAGGATTATCAATATCTTCTGTTTTGAGAATTATAAAATATGCCGATACATTTAATACTATCAGTTTGAACTACCTCCTTTGTGTTTTGCATAATAAATATTTTAAGTTTGCATAAGTCTGTAAAATTACATGATTTTTGTTCCTTAAAATTACATGATTTTTCGCCGAGTTCCGGCGATTTAAAAATAGCATAATTTTTAGGATGAAAAGTTTCCTATATTTTTTTAAATAGTGTATAAATATTATAAAATATAATTATGAAAATATTTATTGTTATGGAATTATTTATTATAAAATTTTCATCAGCACAAAATGTATGTAAAATTATGTGTATATAACATAAAGCATAAATAAAATCAATTTAATAATTAATTAAATATTTAGCTAAGAATAAATATATGTTACATGATAGTGCTAGTGCCAGATATCAATTTTTTTAAATTTTATATAAAAGTTCTATATTCTAAAATATGGTGTTGCATATGTTTTAACATATATTTCAATATTATAATGAAACGTATCAATGCAGACTGCTTATATTACAATACTAACTAAAGGAAATTGTACTTACGTGGTGAATAAGAACGTGATCTGGAACGATCGTAGCGAGAACGTCGGCGGCTGTAATATGGGCTGGGAGAGCGACGGTAGCTTCCTCTATAACTGATTCTAGTTTCCAATGCGAGCAAAGAAAGAAAAGAACAATATGTGAGAATTTATAATTATTTCTTTAAATCGTAAAAAAATTTGAATTATTGGTTACTCTCGCTTACTCTCTACGTCTAGGTCCATCCCATCCTCTATCGTGCAGATGCGTAGGTTTTCCCATGTATATTCCTGGTGTCGGGGTGTGAGCACGCTGTGTGATAGAGAAATCTACCCTTATTCTTCTTCCATCAATTTCCATGCCTGTACATTGGTCCTTAGCCACTTTGGCGTCCTCTGACGATTCGAAATATACAAAACAAAATCCTCGACTTCTTCCAGTCTGTAGAACAAATGTGATTTAAACGCAATTATATTATTGTTAAACTCTTAATATATTATTGTTATCATTAACTTTCACCAAGTTGTAATAATTTTTAATTTATATGTACAGGGTGTCCCACAGGAAATTGCTGAAACTAATCAGCTGTCATTTTTTAATGCATTCATTATTGAGAAAACAAAAATTGTGTTGGAAAGATGAATGTCTACAGTTTTTCATAAATATAAATAAAATGATTGCATATCAATTTATTTTATTGAAAAAAAGTAATGAAAAAAGTGCTAATACAAAAGATTTCAAGAGAGAAAAAAGTTGATAATCTTGAATTTTAACTATTGTAAGATAATTTTTCAAGGTCATTTAAAAATTAATCTAATTTTTTTTATAAATATAACAGGATATTTCAAGAGGAATGTCAGTGTTCTAGGACATGATTGTACACATTTTAAACAAAGTTTACATAAACATGTGTTCTATTTTTGACAATATATACAGGGTATCTGAAACCACCCACACATGTCAAATATTTTGAAAACTAAGCACGACAGATAAAAATGTTTTAAACAAAAGTTGTAGGGTTTTAACAATAATATAAGAAATGGTGATACATATTTGACCTTAACAGCAGTTATGAAAGAAGTCTCAAGATCAACTATTTAAAAAATAATTTTCATTTCAAAAACATGTTAAAGTGAATGGAGGTATTTTCAGAAAAAATATTTCAGACAAAAATTATTCCAATTAATTGGTAGAAGATGATATAATAAAAATGCATGTTTCCATTTAAGATTTTAAAGTTAACCTTGAGACTTCTTTCAGAACTGCTGTCAAAGTCAAATATGTATGTATTGTGGATATAAATAAATAATTGTATACTTTACCTTAGCATCAATAACGACCTGTACTCGTTCGACGGGGCCGTATTTCGAAAATATATGATGAATTGTTGCTCAGTAGTGAAAATCGACAGTCCGAAAACGCCTAAGCACCGAGAAGGGCAGGGATTGTCACGATTGCCGACGTGACGTCGCCTGGAGGACATCGGGCTCCTGGAGTGCGATCGATATACATGCCGGTCACGAGAGTACCGCGACCGTGAATACGAGCGCGATCTGCTGCGAGAATAGCGGCTGCTACGATACGGCGAGCGACTCCGGCTGCGGCTGCTTCCGCGATGACCGACATTTGTGTACTTGCTACCGCGGTAGGATTTGCGACCGCGCGACACCGAGCGACTACGCGATCTCGAGTACTTGACCTCTCTATGCGACTCCTTCCGTTCTCGTGATTTGCGCGATCGCGAGTGCGATCGCGAATCCCTCAAGCCGCCGTCCGCGGTTCGCGGCCTTCGTGGACTCGCGCTGCGACTGCCGCTTCTCTGTAAAAATTACAAACTATTGTTATTGTCTTTTTTTATTACGTATTTATAGGGTTAAGTTAATGATTTTTTTAACTAATTGTAAGTTAAGTTAAAGTTAGTTGCTTATAAAATCAACAAAAAATTAACTCGGTTAAAGCACTGACGTGATTAAAGTTAAGAATAAATTAACTAAAGTTAAATCAAAATTTGATTTTTAAAAAATATTTATATTAAATTAGAAATGTTTAATTCTTTTAAAATTTATAATAACAAATAACAAAGAAATTTTAATTATTGTCGTTTTTTTATTACGTATTTACAGGGTTGGGTAAATTAATGATTTTTTTAAAACTAATTGTAAGTTAAAATTAGTTGCTTATAAAATTAATAAAAATATTTATATTAAAATTAAGATAAAAATTTCAATGGTAAAATTTATTAGAAAAAAAGTGTAAAGACTGAATAGAAAAAATTCTAAAAAATTAAAGTAAAATTATAAGTATAAATAAGAGAAAATTAATAAATTTCTACATTTAAAATATAAATCTAAGAACTTAAAAATTAGTTTACTTATTTAAAAATAAATTAGTTAAGTAAAATTAATTGAGTTTATATCTAATAAGATAAAGTTATAAATATAAACTTATATAACTTAAATTATTAAATTTTATATAAATTAGTTATAAGTCAAAATTAAAATATATAGATTAAAAATAATAATTATTAGGAAAGAAATATTTGATAGAATTTTATTTCAATATAGAAAATGATTATAAAATTAAAATGAATATATACAAGTAGAAAAATTTTTAAGAATGATATATATAAATTGAAAATTATTATTGACGATGATAGTGAGATAATAAAAGTAAAGATTTTAAATTCTTCTAAAATAATATAAAGTAATGTAAATTTCTCATTTCTGTTTTAAAGAAAATGTTGCATCATCTATTTGGAACAAAAAATTCACAGAAATATGTAATTTTCAAAATTGTTTGGAGCACTAATAAGTGTCATTATTAATAATTTATTGTGTATAAGTCCCTATTATTGTAGTATTGTATGTATATTTTATATAATAATAATTAAGATAGTTATACATTACACTTTATATATATCATATATTGTCTGAAAAGTACACGCAAGATGTAAATTTTCAAAGATAATATTAATAATCACATATGATATAATAGATAATTTAGGACACCAGATTGAATGTAAACAGCAGATTGATGATGTTCTTTTATATTGCGAGATAACATGAAAACTTTCTTATTGTTAGATTGGCTGTGTTCAGCACAAAAAGCAGTTTTGCAACTGTTATAAAACTTTTTCTGCAGAAACAAAAGTGCTTTTTCTGCTGAACGCAACCATTAATTTTTTAATTTTGAAAAATGCATACTCTGTTATTTTCAACATATGTATATATAAATATATATATGTGTGTATATGTGTGTGCTTGTATGTGTATAAATATTTAGTTTAAATGCTTTTAAAGTTATCATGTCAGAATTTTTTTCATATTACAATTTTATCAACAATAACAATGACATTGTATTCTACATAATTTCTTAAACATCAGAGTGACATAAATTAATCGGTTAATTGCTGGAAATGCTTCAATATCAATATTTATAACCTTATAACATTTTCTCTTAATATTTTATTATTACATATTATTGTCATGTGGCGCATTGGAAATTCGATATATTGGAATTATATTTACTGCAAAACGTCTTGGAATTAATTTGGAAGACAAAAAAAGGAGTTACATTGATTATTACGCATTCGCGTGAAATTGATAATGGCTATAAAACCACATTGCTGGATCGATATAATGGCTGCATCGAAATTGTTCGTGCCGTCATTTGTCACCATTCGTGCAACAAAAATTTCCCGTAAGTTCACAAAAAATATTGCACTCACCTCGATGTCGCTCATCGTTTATCTTCTCTGTGTCCCTTAAATCAAAGAAAGACGGAGTGAAAGACTCTCGAGCAAGCAACACTCCGTGTCGTCGATTCACGATAAATATGGCGTATCTCTCGACAGGAAACGCCGGGCTTCCAGATGTACACAAATGAACGCACCAACATCCGGCAGCGTTGCCATGGATATAGAAATGGCGATTTACGATTCCTTAAGGTCATGCGCACAATGAAAATAGTATATTGTGTATCAAGTGCGGAAAGTTGACAATTGGTCACGAGTGCGGGGGATGGACGCACGAGCCGAAGGCGAGTGCAACCATCCTACACAAGTGAACAATTGTCAATCCGCACGTGATGCACATACTATTTTGTATTACAAGTGCAGGCAAAGTGGCTTTGTGCGCGTTTTCTGTGCACGAGGTGGCCGATCGCACGCCATCATCTTGCGGCTAAAGCCGTGGGTAATGTTTTGCCCACGGCTTTAGCCGTGGACAATGACTTTGAACACGGCTATTCCCGCACCGTGTCGCCGTTAGATGGCGTCGTGGGAAATCGGCCGCTTTCCGCACAGAAAACACGCACACAAAGTGCCACTTTGCCTGCACGTGTAATACAAAAATATTAGAAATAAATACTGAAAATATTAAGAATCTAAAAAATACAATTCAGATTTTTATTATATTTTACTACATTATATATTATATTATTTTTTATAATATATTAATTTTATATTTTATATACTTTCATTTTTATATATTTTTAATATAATTTTTTTATTTTATATTTTTATATATATTATTACCATCAATTGTAATTACAAATATGTTTTTAAATAAAAATCAAAATTTCCTTGTTAATTGTTATTATAACTTGTATTTTCATTGTTATTATAAATTTTAAAAGAATTAACAAACAAAATACTAATTTAATGTAAATTTTATTTTTAAAAATTAATTTTTGATTTAACTTCAGTTAATTTAAATCTTAACTTTAACTGAGTTAAGCCCGTATCAGACTATGGATTAGAATTGAGATTGAATTGAAATATAACTAATCAGAATCAAGAAAACTAATCTCAAGCTTGTAAACTTTGCTCTAATTGGTGAAATTTCAATCATCCCAATCCTAATTCGTAGTGATACGGGCTTTAGACCGAATCTACAATAGGTGTAGTAAGTTCGAAAGTCGGTTCTATAATACATCGTATGTCGGAACGTAAGCGATTGTCCAATAAGAAAATTTCTTTTTCAAAACAAAATTTCCTTATTGGACAATCGCTTACGTTCTGACATCCAACTGCAACATACGACTTATTATAGACTAGGCCTAAGCCTTAAGAGCCTTCTACAATGGAGTATCGTAGGTGGTAGTCGTAAGAAATTGACCTATCACAATCGATTATTTTTGAAATAATCGACTGTGGTTTGTCAATTTCTTACGACTACAGCCTACGACAAACCATTGTAGAAGGCCCTTAAACCTACGTTTACATCTGCGATTTACGACTGCGACTTATGTCACTGTTACGTCGTATTGTGCTAAGACCCTAAATCATTTTTTTGTATTCTATATATCTTTGAATAACGCGCTTTTATACTATCAAAAACATGGCGGATAGTTACGTGACTGAGGGACACGAACATCAAAGGTTCGTCCAAAATAAGTCGCAGTCGTAAATCGCAGATGTAAACGTAGGTTTAAGGGCCTTCTACAATGAAGTGTCGTAGGCTGTAGTCGTAAGAAATTGACCTATCACAATCGATTATTTTTTGGTCTGGGTACTTATTACGGTTCTTTGGGTGAGTTTGCTCACGAGGTAAAAATCACAAAAGTGAGAGATTCACTAGGTTGTCTACGCTTCTATTGGTCAAAATCTAGTGAATCTCTCATTTTTGTGATTTTTATCTCGTGAGCAAACTCACCCAAATAACCGTAATAGGTACCCTAGGGGTCGATTGTGTAATTTTTTCTAAAGTAAAAATGTGAAAAGTGAAAAATTTCTTCCAATCACACATCGATTTTATCTTAAAATCAATGCGTGATTGGTGGAAATTTTTCACTTTTCACGTTTTTACTTTAGAAAAAGTTACACAATCGACCCCCTGAGAATCGATTGTCTACTTGTGTCGATTTTTCTCATTTTTCGCACATTCATTTCACGTGAAGAAATACACGCGATTGGCTATGAGCAAGGTGAAAATACGATATCCCTAGATTCACGGGAGCACAAACCATAGTGAATATTCCGTAAAGCGTATATGCATATATGTTTTCTACTTCATAAAAATTACGCACTCAATGCACCAATGAGTACGATTTTACGTAAAGCAATAAAAATTGAGAAAATTTAACTAAATATAATATAAAGCATTTGGTATTTGTTGAGCATTGATTGTCCAGTTTATATAAAGTAGAAAACACTATAAGAACATTTTAATAAAATAGGAAAGATGAAGGAAAATATTTGATAAATTAACAACTTGTAAATGTGGTGGAATTGCTGTCTTTCTCTTTTTAATTGGCATAAAAGGTATCAATTCTTCTAGTAGCTCCATAGTTGCAGCTTTATTTAACCTAAAATATATAAAAATTACATTAAAGATATATAAAATTATATCATAACAAGTAAAGAGATTATAATTTAAAATATAGATAAATATTTAATGTATATATATATATGCAAATTATAATTTAACATATACTGCAAATGAAATTTATAATACAAATTTATTTATACCTGTATAGTTTGACAAATGTAGTCTCTGGTGTATCAAACGGATCTAAAGAATCTCTTAATTGCCTCCTTATAATATTTTGATATTTTATTTGTTGTCTTTTATTATCATTATCGTCGTTTTCTATTATCATAGCAATAAAATAATTCACGTAACTTTCTCGAGGTATGTGTGATATAGAGGATATTAAACAACACTACGCACGATTTTGACGTTATTCGACACAGAATTTCTTGCCGAACAGTTTCATGCGAGTTAGTTCGTATTTTCACTATGATGAAAGTTACCCAATCAAGCAAGAGCTCACTTTTGTCATTTTCAATATAAGGGTGCATTCGTTTATGCAGCGATTAGCGCATCCACTGCGTCTATTATCTGCGAGTCACGTGACATCATTATCGAACGATCACCTGCGTGAATTGACTGCTCAGATTGTAATTGGAGTGCGTAAGTAAAGAAATTTTAAATAAATATGAATTATTATTTGAATAAATATAATAAAATTTTTAAATAGGTTGAAGGTTCTGACATATGACGTGTGCACATAACATTTTCAGATAGTGATGACGGTAGGATTGAAATGTTGCTGAATGTAGACTTCTCAGATTTTTCCAAACTAACTGGGGACGAAGTAGCTTGATAGCTAGGAATGACTGTAACAGAATTGCATCTTTATACAAAGCACATTTTTTTTAAACAGATTACTTTAAATTTATATTCTTGATAAAAGTGCATTTTTAAGTTAATTGGATCGTAAATATAAATTAACAAACTTCATAATTTTATTGTATTACTTACCTTGCATTACTTTTAGTTTTGTAGGATCTATTTGGAGGAGTTATTCTCCACCTTCTTTGTTCTGAACTTTCATAACATAACTCATAATTGAAATAATTTTCAGGCAACGTTTCCAAGTTCAATTGGCTTAACAATGGAGAAGACTACATTCGTTTACGCAGTAGTCCGCAGTACTGCGAGCAAAGCATCCTGAGCAGGACCTCCGAGATGGCTGCGCAGATAGGCAGCAGCTCTGCTTAAACGAACAACAAACTGCGCTGCAGTCGGTTGCGCAGGTGGAGTAAACGAACGACATCTGCGGCATTCTGCGGCAGTCACTGCATAAACGAATGCACCCTAAGGTTTGTTCGCGTCGCATGCTCCAACTTGCTCCTTTTTATTTCAATGCGCTCGTATTGGTCTAATTCGAGGAGCGCACCAATACGAGCGCATTGGAGTAAGAAGGAGCATGTTGGGGCATGCGACGCGAACAAACCTATACTAATATACAATCGATCTCCTGAGTATCGATTCTGTAACTTTTTTTAAAGTAAAAATGTGAAAAGTGAAAAATTCTCGCCAATCACGCATTGATTTTAAAATGAAATTGATGTGCGATTGGCGGAAATTTTTCACTTTCACGTTTTCACTTTAGAAAAAGTTATAGAATCGATACCCTGTATGTAAGACCGTGATTTCGACGCTACTGTCGTAACTAGTTATACCTAAACTGTGGCTTGTGTCGCCTGCTGACCCTTAACACCATCTACATTTTTGCATCAACCGTGATATAGAAATGGCGGCATGCGAGCTGTAAAGTTTGCGTTGCATCGTTGGGATTTGGTGTGCGTAAGAAAAAATGGAAATCTTCGTACTATATTTAGCCCCGACTGAAGTTACATCGATCGCATTAACAATGTGAAATTAAATTTTGGTTAAAGATTGAAAAAATATTCTTTCGCTGTCGTATCGTATCCAGGTGAGTCAACACTGTCTATCGCCTTCTGATACTTTTTTTCGATCTTGTTGCAAAATAAATGGATTTCCAGCTTGATTTTGTCAGTTTTTGGCCGAATAAATACAATTTAGACAGTTAAAATTCTGTAAGAATATATTGGTTATTCTATTATGTGAGAAATTTCACAATTTTATGAAAAATTTATGTAATATTGTAATTCAATATTGTATATATATATATCTATATATATATATATTATAAAATGAATATATATATATATATATTTGTATGCATGTATGTATGGATGTATGTACATATATATATATAATGAAATACACAAATGAAATCCATATTATCCATATAACATAATTAAGCAAAAACTTTATTTAACATAATATTCAATTCAATATATTAATATCAATATTAAATTTATATACAATATATTTATTGTATGTATGGATATATACATATATGTATATAAACTTTTAAATACAATTATGTGTATATTTTTTGTTATTGTTTGCTTTATATATTTGTTATCATTTATATAATTAATATACTAACATATAGTTTATAAAATAATATATTGTTATAAAAAAAAACTACAAAATAATTCAATTATTAATATTTTTAATAATTTTTGTAGGAAGAAAATGTCAGCTGAATACAGTCGGAGCATTTTAAAAATTGTTGTTGCTCAGATCTGTCAGATGATAGGGTGGCATTCTATTAATTCTACGCCACTAGAATTTATGGTAGATCTTATGCAAGAATATATGTTACGTGTTTCAAAGCTGACACATCAATATGCAGAAGTTTGTGAGTTGTGATGATTTTGACAATATGTTTTTGTATACCAATGTTTTTGTATAGTACTAAAAAGTTTTTTTTACTTCTATACAGTATTCTTAAAATTTTATTAATATCAAACATTTTTAATAAATTAATTTTTTTATATTTGTACAGATATTTTGAACTTTTATTTTTTTACTTTATAGTAGGAAGGACAGAGCCAAATCTTGATGACTTAGGATTAACATTTCAACATATGAATATCGATATACAGGAATTAGTTGAATATGTTAAGAATGTAGATTCTGTATCGTGTCCTATACAGATACCACAATTTCCAGTTCGGCGTGAAAGTCATTTGAATTTTTAAAACCAGGCAGTCGTGAAGTTGTCACTAGATCAGTGCATATACATGAACATTTACCAGCTATGTATCCAGATACTGAGGGTACGATAATAAATTATATTTTCTACATTGACACTGTGTTTAATATAATTACATTAATTATATAAGATGTTTTCAAAATATTACAAAAAATGAATAGTTAGAAATTATAATAAAACAATTTATGTTAACTATAATTAAATAATCATAAATAAGCACTTATCTGATAAGAAATTCTACTAAATCTATGTTCAAGTATTTTGGAAACCCTGTATATTAATAGTACATAACAATTATAATAAATATTTATATTACAATAACATAATAAAAAAAGTTACAGAGGAATATATACCGGAGAAGAATGAAAGTCTAATAAATGGTACAGCAACGGAGCTGACATCTAGCAGTGCCACATCATCAAATAATTCGAATAACACGTCGCCACACAGAATGTCTCCACAAGTAATTTTCAAACGGCCCGGTGATCCGGTGTCTTTCGACAGCTCCATAGCGAAGCGGGCGAAAATTTTGGAGGAGGGCAGACCTTTGCGCGAGATAAGCAGCGTTATGATGACTACTTCCGGTTATTTATCACCTGCGCGAGAAGGGAAGCTACCTGAAGCGAGAACGCCTCATCAGGTGCGATCGGAGTCGCCGCAACCGAGCTCTTATCCAATGGTACCACCTGAATTGAAGTGCGAGAAGAAGCCGAAAAAGATCGTGAAGAAAGGCCCGGAGAACCGTAAACTCGATAAGGAGAACAAGAAGAAAAAAGGCGTGAAGGAATTGTTCAATCCGGATAAAACGGATGAGAGTAAGATAAAGAAGCTGGTCGGTATGAAGGAGCTAGCTAAGTTGAAACCGTTGAAGCCGGGCGGTGGCAAAGCGCAATCCACTATGCTGCAAGAGATCAGCAGACCATCTACGCCGAAGATCGCGTCGCCAAAATCAGCCATCGCTGGCAGTTCGAAGCCGGTGAAAACCACTCAGCCGAAGGCCAAGAGTGATAAAGTGATAGATTTAATAGACAATTCTCCCGCTGCCGAGAAGAAAGAGGATACCATTGACAAATTGCCGTCGGAGCCGGATAAACAGAAGCTGAACATATTCAAAAAGATAACAAAGCCGCGCGAGGAGAAGGACAAAGATAAGGAGACGTCGGAGCCGCATAAGTATAAGGATACCCTCGATTCGCGCGAAAACTCGCCGGAGTTGATAATAGACGTCGAGAATACAGAGAAGCATACGACGCATCGTAACGACGCGGACGCGAAGGGAGGACGCGAGGAGAAGAGAACGTCGCACACGCCAGATGTGCACGTGCAACCGGACGCCGATATGGCGGACGTGCAGAGTTCGGAGTCGGACGTTTATATATTCGACGATGCCGACATTTCGCCGCCAGGTACGCCCAGCACGCCGAAAACTCCGGAATTGAGTGTGCCCACTGTACCGGAACAAAAGCGAAAGAAGAAAGAGAAGAGTGGCAAAAGAAGGAATCCAAATTGAAGAGTCCGAAACAGTGCGTCAGCCCAAAGAAGGTAGGATATATGTATCTTGCGTTCATCATTTTTACCCGCTTAAAGGGATCCTTCAGTAAACGGTGAACTCTGATAAAATGGCATCCATATTTTGAAATTAACCTTGAATGGTCACTTGAAGGTCACTTTCAATTTCTTTATTATGAACCCCTATTTTTTATTATATATTCTTGTAGCTTATCTCAAGAGCTTTCCAAAACACTATAAAGTTTGAAAATAATTTTTTGACACAAAATGTAAACTGTCTTATAAAATATTCAGTTTTTGATAATCTTACTTTAATATTTTTATGCATTGAATAATAAGATCAATCAATTGATATTTAAAAAAACAAAAGTTCAAAAGAAAATTAATTTGCAACATGCAGCTGCATACTTTTTCTTAAAAGCAACTATGTGTTTTCTTTACATCAATTGATTGGTCTCATTATTCCATGCATAAAAGTATTAACGAATAATTAACGAAAACTATATACAGTGAGAATCAGAAATAAGTAGTCAGTATTAAAATGTCATAAATTAAACATTTATTTAATAATATGACACTAGTAATAATGTATAACGCATATATTTTAAAGATACCATAAAATAGATAAAATATTTTAACATTAATTAATAAAATACTTTAACATTAATTAATAAAATACTTTAAATTAACAAAAATATTACATTTTATCTTACTGCAGTTTATTTCTATAATTTTATCACTTTTCATAAATAAGTAGTCAAATGATGAAAAGAGTCAAAAGTTCTATAACATAAATACAAAAGGTTTATAACATAATTAATTTATAATTAATACGTTAATAACGTGTTGGACCTCCCTTTGCTTTTATCACAGCCTCTAAACGTACGCGGCATAGAATCAAGTAATGTTTCTAAAATATTTTTCTTGATCTTACTTCATTCTTCAAAGCTGCTCTGTATTCTTCAAAGTTGTTAATTCATCCCATAAATGCTCTATGGGATTGAGATCTGGACTTTGAGGAGGCCATTCAAGAACATTAATATTGTCCTCATCGAGAAATCGTTTAACGATACATGAGGTGTGCTTTTCGGACCAGTGTCAAGTTGAAATATAAATTCATTTTCAAGGCCCATATTTTGAGCAGAAATTCTAAGATTTTTTTGTAAGATATTGCGACAATAAAACCCATTCATCTTACCACTGATTTTCAAATTACCGAATCTTGCAAACAAAAAGCATCCCCACAACATTACGTATTTTGAGTGCTTCACTGTTCTAATAGTCATTTGCATTAAAAGCTGTATTTTTTCGTCTTCATATTTTCTGCTGTCTTTTGGAGCCGTAAAGTTCAAATTTGGATTCATCTTTCCAAATTATACAAGCCCAGAATTCAGGTGGTATAACAGATTATTAAATAATATATTTATAATATATAATATTAATAACAGAGAGAAAGAAATAGAGAAAAAGAGAGAGAAGAGAAAGAGAGGAAACATAAAAATTATAGACATCAAAGAATTGGAAAAAAGGAGATTAAGAAAGAGGAAATGAGAAAGGGAGGTGAAGCTTTATATAATAGCTGTAATTTTTCCAAATTTTAGGGCCCAATGTACGAATCATTATGTTAGATAATAACACGTTATTTTGCAATATATTTTATTATCAAACTGAGGACCATTTCAAAAACGTATTCTCATATTCTAAAGCCCGCGCTTTCATTTTTTAATTAGTTTTAGTCATTTAATGTGATAATTAGTTTTTCCAAATTTTAGGACACAATGTACGATTCATCATGTTAGGTATTGACACGTCATATTTCAATATTTTTTTTTATTAATCTAAACACCATTTTAAGGACGTATTCCCATATATTGAAGCCCTTTCTTTCATTTTTTAATTTTTTTTCGGTCATTTAAAGCGATATTTAATTTTAGGATTCAATGTACGCGCGAATCATTATGTTAGGTATTGACATTTCATTTTGCATATTTTTTATTATTAAACTGAAACTTTATTATTAAACTGACATTGAAACAACGTATTCTCCTATTTTGAAGCCCGCTCTTTCATTTTTTAATTAATTTTAGTCATATAAAACGATGATTAATTTTTCCAAATTAGAACCCAGTATATGAATTATGTTAGGTATTGATACAACATATTTAAATATTTTATATTATGAATTTGAGGACCATTTAAAGAACGTATAACCATATTTTACTGTCCCTTTTTTCATTTTTTAATTAGTTTTCATTCAGTTAATTCATTTAAAGCGATAATTAAGATTAAAATAATAATTTAAAAAAATTGAAATGATAATTAAAATTAAATTACGTATTCCCAGAGAATTACTGCAGTGACTTCTCTTTTTTTAAATAATAAAATATTAAATACTAATATTAGGAAAAATAAATCTAATCTGTGGAGAAATAATATTAATATTACGAAAAATAATACTGATTTTAGGAAAAACATAACAAATGATATAAAAAATAAAATTAATATCAGAAAAAATAATACTAATTTTAGGAAAAATGTATTTTTGGCAAGTTTTAAAGTATTAAAAGCTAATATAAAACTAAGAAATTGGCGCACACCTAGCGCGCGCTTTTATTTTAAATTTAAACGCAATTTTAATTTTTCAAAAACTATTTATTGTTACTCTAAGTCCATAAATTTTAATATATTGGAATACTTTTTTTTATATGAATAGACTATTAGAAGATTGGTTTTGAATTTGGCGATATTTGATGAAAAGGTTCATTTTTAATAAAATTTTGAGTATCTTGACAAAAGTCTGTAGTTGTTTTAATTTTTGTAAATTCCAAGATATCAATATAAATATTTTTATATAATTATATAGATTATCGAGGAAAGCGCGCGCTGCGTACTAGTCTCCTTTTGTAAAAAAGCATGTTAAATCGATTCTCGCATGTATTGTTGCCGCTTTTCCGCGTTGCTAATTGGTTGTCTCAATTCGCATCGTGTGTTATATTCATATCAAACAGCTGTTATTGTGAAAGTTAATAGTTTGACAGTTGTTCAAAATAATATATATCAAATCAAAGCACATAAAATCATTGTCGCGCGCGAAGCGCGCGCTTGTGTTGTCTAGTGCACTAAAAAATTGGGATTTATAATAAAGAAATTGAAAATGACCTTTACGTGACCTTCAAATGACTATTCAAAGTCAAATCAATGGCACCTTATGTCTTCCTTCGATCCAAACAACTTTTGTTTGAAACGTTTTTTCGTATCCTTCATATTTGTCGAGATATTTGAGTGTCGAAGTTAAAATGGGACACCCTGTATATTTAAGAACAATTTTAATCTAGATTTAGAGAATAACAGTAGGGGTTTTTTTCTTCAATTCCAGGAACCTTGTTTTTATGATGAGTTGATAGTTCGTTTGCAATTTGAGATGCCATATTGAGATCAAAATAGATGAGGAAAACTATAATTTTTCTTTATAATTATTTCTTGTTTTTCATATGAAATCGGAGTTTCCTAAAATCATCGATGTATGTATTGCAATCGTAGAAAAGCATTTTTAACTCTGTCAAATTAAGGCTCTTGGCTCCTCGCCGACCATGTTGGAATTGTGATGTCAAAAGCGAGAAAATACTAAAAAGTCTTAGATGCTATTTCGACCTTGAAAACTATTATTTTCCCTTTATAATCAATTAACTGTAATATGAGGCCCAACCCCCTTTCTAAAAAAGGCATGTTATTGACATTGTTGTCGCTTTTTTGCAATGCTGATTGGCTGTCTCGATTTGCCGTTGCTATGCGTTAGATTCATAGCAGTTGTTGAGAGAGTTAACAGTTTGACAGTTGTCAAAATAAAATTTATATATTTTATATAAATATATTAAGGGGATCCCTCAGGAAATGACGAACACCGACAAAATAACCACACATATCCAAAACATATGCACGTATACACAACGCACGCACACATACGTATAAATCGTATTTCTAATTACAAATTTTTATTAGACTTCTAATCTAAGTTTAGAGGATAACAGTGCTTTCTTTCGTGTCCTCTAATCCTAGGGAATGTGCATTTTTCGTACAAAGAGCATGTTTTATATAAAGCACATTATGATGAGGTTGACAGTTCGTCTGCACGATCAAACAGTTTGATCTAAATAGTGAGTATATAAGGAGCTTGAAATCGGCACGATAACATAGTTATTTCGTTTTCATACTATCATGTTATTATATCATGTCATATTCTAAGATCGAATTTTTGTTTTTTAAAAAAGTTGTGATTTACTTTGTTTTAAGAACATAGGTATGTTTGCGTATTAACGTGTGAAAGTTTCTATATATTTTATTATTTTTATTTTTCTAATAATTATTAATATTAATAATTATAAATATTATATTATAGCACTTGATAAGGGCCGAAACCCACGGCCGAAACGTTGTGAATATTCAATAAAATTACTTATTTGCCAGAGTTGATCGATTGAATTATTATCATTTTTTAATTATCATTTGGTGACTTTATAGTTTTATATCGTTTAAAATTATGTAATACATAATAAAAATTCAGGAATTAAAATTATGTTTCTTTTTAAAAAGGGTATTCTCGCAAGTATTGTTGCCGCTTTTCTGCAGTGATGATTGTTTGTCTCGTGTCGCTTTGTTGTTAAATTGAAAGTATCAAGCAACTGTCATCGCGAAGATTAACAATTTGACAGTTAGAAAATAAAAAGAAAAACAATATCAATGGCGCGCGCAAAGTGCGTGCTTGTATTGTCTAGTCATTTAAAAACGGCATAAAAATTTTCAGCGTATGCTTTCTCACCTCTGACGACACAATTCAACATGGTCACGGCGAGCGAAAATAATAATTTTGTGCAACCGGCGCGCGAAAAGTCGCCCTTTACGCACATGATGGGATTTTAGAAAGGGCTCCCTTTCCACGCACCGGTCACACAAAATATCGTAGCCAACATGTGCGGGTCATAAATCGGCCGATCGTGCGGATTGTCACACTCGGCTTCACCTCGTGCGCCAAACTTTCGTACTCTCGGCCGATTTACGATCCCCCGCACTTGTTAGCTAATATACTATTGTTACGTGAATATAAAATATCAAATACTTCTACAGGGTGTCCTGTTTTGGAAAGTATATAAAATATGTTTTAAAAAAACAATGTTTTGAATAAAAATTATTTGGTTTTGAAACAAGTTGATAATCTTGAATTTTAATCTATAATATTTTAATTTAATAATTTTAACGTTATTTAAAGCTCAACCTAATTTTTATAAATCAAACTATCTTTTTTTTGGAAATTGATTCTTCGCAATATTTGGCACAAAAATTTCTAAATTGTAAGTCAAATTAAAGCACACATAAAATATCTCTAAACATTCTGGCTATTTTGTAATTTTTTTATGTCGAATATTATTAGGAATCAATTTATGTGAAAAATTTAGGATGACTTCAAAACTAAATTGACCTTTTCAAATGACCTTGATTAAAAATTAAAATTCAAGATTATCACGATTATCAACTTTTTTCCTTTTCAAACAATTTTTATTTAAAATAATGAGTTTGTTCTTTTCAGCTGAATTGGCTGTCCAAATTCAGAATTTATTTTTTTTACTCCACATTAGAAAGGGATAATAAATCTTAATTCTCATAACTTTTCCCGGACCTAATGGACAAATAATTGTTATTTTCTATTTCTAGAAGATCCCAAAAACAATTTTCAATTATTGATTTAGATTCCTTTCACTTTTGGGCTAAAAATGGTTTATTTTTAACATCCTCCTTTGATTGCGTGCTCATATCTTTTATTACACATCCCTAAGTTCCAATATTAATACATGTTTTGCTGGTGACCACCATTTTGCAGGCGAAGCTTCAGAACGATGCGGCGGAATTGGACATACCGGATCGGCCGAAGACACCGCAGGCACCTGAGCCATTGCTACACAGAGAACCGCCTGCTCTTCCTCCACTTCCGTATCCCTTCTTTCCGTTTCCCTCGGCGCCAGGCTTGATACCTCCGATGTTCGCGCGATTTCCGTTGCCGTTGGGTCGCGGCGGACCGGGTCATCCTCATCCGGCGATGCCCAATTTGCCGTTACCGCCGCGCTTTCTCAACCCACCCATAAAACCTCTGGAGGACTTTGCATTGCCGAAAATAAAATCGGCGAACGAGCGTGAAAAGTTACCGATACTTCCTCCGGTTGAGTTAACGTCCTCGTCGTCGTCGGTCGTGCAAGGCGAAAGTGAAAGGGCGGATAACAGCAAAGAAAAGGTGGATAACAAACTTGCGAAAATGTTTAAGCCAAACAAAGAACCGCTCTTTACGAAGGTGCCCGAGAGGGTGCCGCCCGTGGGCATTTCACCGCCTATAGCGCCTGCATCTGTCGCACCAATCACGCTTCCCACACCATCGGTACCCGTCGCGCAAATACCGCCGTCGAAAAATCCTAAAACTGAAAAATCCGAGAAGAACGATGTGGTTAATTCGGTACGAAATTATATTCGAGATATCCATATTTTGGTTTGCATTTTATCGTTTAATGACAGAGTGTATACTCACTGGAAAAACCTAGAAAACCTGGAATTCTCAGGAAAGAAGGATGTTCAAAAAAGTCGATTTTCCGACTATCGATGGAACCTAAAATTTGAGTTTTATGGGTATCTATGAACCATATAAGATGTAAAAATGATGGCCTTTTTTCCTAGAGACCTGGAGAAAGTATTGAAAATCTATCAAAACTATTGAAAATAGTGTTAATCGATCTATCTGAAGACAACTAAAATTGATGACATGGATGAATTTTCAATCAAATCAAGTTCTGGTTAAACACTTATCACATAGTTTTTGAGATCAATAATGTTTTAATATCGGGATCGCAAAATTCAAGATTGCGGATCCAATATGGTGGATCAGTATTGAGAAACACTAGATGCCAGGATGTAGTTACTTCCGAATAAACGATCTGATTTCACATTCCTGGCATCTAGTGTTCCTTAATACTGATCCACTATATTGAATCCGCAATCTTGAATTTTGCGATCTTAATATTAAAACATTATTGATCTGGAAAACTATTTGATAAGTGTTTAATCAGAAGTTGGTTTGATTGAAAATTTATCCATGTCATCGACTTTAGTTGTCTTCAGATCGATCGAATGACGCTATTTTCAATAGTTTTGATAGATTTTCAATACTTTCCCCAGGTCTCTAGGAAAAAAGGCCATCATTTTTACATCTTATATGGTTCATAGATTCTCATGGAACTCGAATTTTAGGTTCCATCGATAGTCGGGAAATCGACCTTTTTTAACATCCTCCTTTGTTCTACCTTGAACAATCCTGGAATTTTCATGGAATTTGATTTGAACTCAAGGAATTTTTTAAAAAAATTGCCTCATTGTGATTTTAAAATATAGTTTTAAAGAATAAAAAATTTATTTTACATAAAGTATATATTAAAATATTTTTTATTATAATATAATACAATATTACATTATTATATTAAAAAAATACTTCATTTATGTTAAAAAATTATGTATAACAGATAATTATTTCAAAATTGTATTCTAAATATTATTTAAAATACTTTAATTTTACCTGGAATTTTGAACAAAAGTGCTTAGAAAATCATGAAATCACCGGGGAATTTATTTCTAAGATTTGAGTATACACCCTGAATGATATTTTTTTTAAGGAAAAGTATTTCGAGAAAAAAGCAATTTTGCGTTTGTGTGAATGATAAAAATGCATCTCCCTTCATGTCTATCTGTCATGTATATTTATATTGTAGTTTTAAGTTGTACTCTGGTAGCTTTTGTTGTTTCATTATTTTTGCTTGTAGTAAATTTTATATATAAAATTTGCAGAAATCTAAAGAACACAAGAAAGAAAAGAAAGACAAATTGAAGAAGAAGAAAGATAAGAAAGAGAAACACAAAGATAAAGGCGAGAAAGTGAAAGAGAAGAAGGAAAAGGCTGAGAAACGCGAAAAGCTAGAAAAGATTAAGGAAAAGAAAGAGAAAAAAGAAAAGAAAAAGGAAAAGGATTCAAATAAGAAAAATATGGTATTTATCTCTTTTGACTAATAATAAAATAATAATAATAATATATAATGATAATAATACTAAATTACAATAATTTATTAATACATAATAAATAGCAACAATTTATTATGTATGTGTTACAGAGGGAGGATAAAAATCCAGAAGCTGTACCAAAAATAACATTAAAATTAGGTACAGCTTCTCCTAGACCAGCAACACCAGATAATGCCCCTATGAAGAAAATGTGAGGCATTAATTATATTTTTATTAACAATTTATGTTATAATTTCGACTTTTTTTGTAATTTTTATCTTTTTTATTATTTCTTTTTATTATATACAAAAGTTCGTCTATAAATATTTTTTATTTACTTATTGAAAACTTATAGAAGTTTCTGTGTCAAACAATTTTTGTATATTTTATAATTCAGCAAAATTTTGATAAAATTTTGTTTTTTATAATGGCTCCTGCGTCCTCGTCGCGGTCATGTTAGATTGTGACGTCAGAGGTGAGGTCAGAATTTCAACATGATTGCTGAGGAGTCAGGAACCTTAATTTTTTCCGATATATATTGATTATCTACTTTTGTATTTTGCACAGAACTATTAAACCACTTGTGAAAAAACCCGATGAAGAAGTGAAACGGGAACCAAGTCCGGAATTGGCGAAAATATCGGCACTGGTAACACGACCGCCAAAGCAGAAGTCAGCAAGTAAGAAAACAGAGGAGGGAATATTAGATGCAAGTCCTGCTCTTCCTACAGAGTCTTTCTCTGCCAATCTTACTAGCGTGTCACTTGCATCAATTCCTCGAGCAAAGAAATCTAATTTTCCAAGTCTATCTCAAAGTGAGCCAATACTTTCTCAGTTTGACAATCCTCCTAAAGTCCTGAAACCTCTAATATCGCCACAACAACCACCATATTATTTTGTAAGTATCATTTTGTCATGATATTTACACTAAGGGGAATCATTTAAATTATTTAAATTCGCATTATGACTCTAAAAAATTCTAGAACCTTGATATTCATAAATATTTTATGACAAAAATTATAAACAAATTGAATACGTCATCTAGGCAGGAAATGATTTGCACAGATTATTAATTATTGATTTGGAAGCACTATTCAATATCAAACAAAAAAAATATACATTCCTGCCCAATTTTAGAATTGCATACCAGAAAAACTACATTATTTTTTCTAATTTAAATTATATAATATATTAAAAATTTTTTAAAAATTTAAATAATTTAATATCTGACATAAAATAAACGTATGTTAAAAAAAATAGATCAACGTAAAATATGTACAGTAAAATCTTACAAATTAAATTTTTATGACATAAAATCAATCAATTTAGGGGGAATTTACCTTAAATTATATTGCAAATATTTTATTGATATATTTTATATACAATGAGAAACCCAGCCCATCAACATTGTTTCAAATGCAAGCCTGTCCAAAATTTCCTATTTATTTTATTTTATGCTATCTACGCATTTAGGATTTGTGGTGACGGTCTCATGTCTCCTCTTTTTTTCTTTAAGCTACGCTTTTAGTATATGTTGTTATGTTGTAAACTATAAATGTAGTACACATTCTCTCTTACAACTATACTTAGATTTATTACTATATATTTTTTACAATTATTTTGCAATTATTTTAATCGATTTTTTAAATGTTAATATTCGTATTTCTATATCTCTTTCTATATATACAAAGTATCCTATTTTATTTTTGAAATCAAATCAAGGTCAAATATATCTCGATGTCCTGTAATTTTAGAAAAATTATTTCAGACAAAAATTATATGATTTCTAGAGGAACATAAAGATTTGATCTTGAATAGTCATTTGAAGGTCACGTAAAGGTTACCTTCAATTTTTTAAATAAACCTCTTATTTTTCATTGTGGCGGTAACTTTCAAGTTTATAACTTGAAAAATATTTAATGAAAATATAATTATAGTGTTTCGGAAAGCTCTCAAGATAAGTTACAAGAATATGTAATAAAAAATGGAGGTTTATAATAAAGAAATTGTGGAAGTGACCTTCATATAACTTTCAAACGACTATCCAAGGTCAAATCTTTGCCATTATCTTATGTTCCCTTAATTCCCAAATTCGTACAACTTTTGTCGGAAACATTCTTTTCTAAAATTACCTAATAACAAGATATTTGTCTGTCAAAAATAAAATGAAACACTGTGTATACCAATCTTGAGTCTTAAATATTCTTTATTTTTACACAAATTGAGTCTTAAGTATTTGTTTTAGCATTTATTTAGTTTTTCTTTTCTTTCCTGCAAAATTTATAACATACAAAAAGGTTTTCAGAAAAGATTTTAAATAATTAGTTTTAATAATTTATTAGTTAAATAATAAAAAAAAATTATGTAATATTAAATTTGTTTCAAGCGGAAAAAAATTATATATTTCTTTTATAAGAATAAATTCCTTGATAAAATTTTAAGAACACATATACACAAGATGTTCCATTTTGAGGGTCCTAGGTTTTCGCCGCGACCATGTTAGATTGTGACGTCAGAGGCAAGAGTGAAATTTGTCAATTTAAAAAAAATTTTTTAATCTGCTTTTTCCCGGATGATTCAGACTCGTTTGTAGTTGTTTGTATCGATAATAATAGCTACAAAAAACTATAAATCAGTCTTAACCACCAGGAAAAATCAGATTTGAAAAATTTTTTCAATAAAGTTCACTTTTTAACCATTATTTAAATCTTTGTAATTTACAAACCGTGTAACTACAAACAAAACGAAAAACACTATAAACAACTGCAAGCAATTCTAAAAGAGACTGAAGAAATTATTATTACTACAAACAATTATACATGAAATGTTATCATTTTCTGTATTAAAAAATTAATTTTTTAAAAGTCAAGTGCTAGATTAACATAACTGAAAATATGACATATGATATAGAAAAAACCATATATTACTGAAAATTCTTAGATGCAATTTTTAAATAAAAAGATATTTTGATGAAACACTTTCAGATGACTTTAGCACACTTTTAAAATACCTCGAAAAACTATTCTTTTTTAGCATACGTTTTCTCGCCTATGACGTCACAATTACAACATAATAGGAGAAGCTATAGGAGCCTTGATAGAAGAAACAACACTGTATATCTTAAATTTGATAAAGTATAAAAAATATTTCTTATCAGATAAAAGTTTTAAGATTTAAGGGGATCCTAAACATCCTTGAGAAGTCAGTTGTTTTTTCCTTTCTTATCGACAAAATATGAGGTTAGATAAACTATAATCTAAATTAGAATTTATAATTCTGTAATCAAGATATATGAGACTATACAGATTGATAAATCTTTTTCCTGTACAAATTAAAGTATTAATATTAACAAAGGAGGAAGCGTTCTAATTTCAGGTAAAAAACAATCTGTATAACTAATAAAAAGATTTATAGTTTATCTAACCTCACATTTTGTCGATAAAAAAGGAAAAAACAACAGACTTCTCAAAGACGTTTAGGATCCCCTTAAGGAACAATAAAGGATATGCTGATTTTCATTTATTATACATATAGCTTTTGAAAGTTTGAAGGTCATTAATTTCTTAAATATAAATATTTTTTATTACACAAAATCTTTTTATCTCTTAATCTCAAAAAATTTTGTTTAAAATTGTTTTTATTTAGTCAATATTTTTCTACATTTCAACTTACAAAAAATAATGAATTGTATTTTGGACTACGTCCTTTTGACGTAGATGACGTCATTAGACGTCAAAGTGACGTCATTTTGACATCTGATGACATCAGTTTGCTACTTGGGATGATATAGATTGGGTGCGTTCCGTTATGCACTGCAAGTACTGGCACTATGACGTCATGCAAGTGTACTGTTGACAGCGTTCCTTTTTAATTTTGTGCACTTTGAAGCTACTGCAAAATAGTAAAACGGAACGCACTACAGTACGCTTTCAGCAGACTTTTAACTAACCTTTTTCGCTAATAATCATCGAGTGAAAAATTGGTGAAATGGATAATACCATTATTGCATTAATTACATATAATTTAATCGAGAATATATATGATTCGAGTGAGTCATCAAGTGAAAGCGATTTGGAAATGGAATTAATAAATGAAATGAGACGACAAATTAAAATACCTAGAATAAAATGTAAAAATTACGTTAAAAATATTGTATCATTATATTCAGATATGGAATTTAAAAGTTAGTTCCATCGTACACATGGAGGTAGCCATCTTGATTACTGCGAGTGCTTTACCTCGCCGGTTGCAGTAATCGCAACAGGAAATAACGTCAAAATTAATGACGTCATATACTCATGATAGTACTTTCGCAGTGCACTGCTATCTATATCGGAACGCTATTGGTAGTACTGTCAGTACTTGCAGTGCATAACGGAACGCACCCATTGTATGTTGAAGATATATGATTTCTAAAAAAAAAATAAATAACTAAGTGACCTTTTTAAATAACCAAGTGACCTTTTTAAATAACCTTCAAAAGGTAATAAAAAATGAATATAGCATCTTTTTTTCTTCTTTAAAATCTGAAACTTTAATCTTTCTTATATGAAATGAAAAAGAGATATACAACTGTTTCCATTAAAATAAAACAACTTGTATATACACTACTGAAAAAAGTAGATAACAATTTTCCTATTCTAAAAATTAAGTTATTTTTAAAACGCTGAAACTCGACAAAGACTATCATTATAGACTAAAAATTAAAAATACATTTTGTTATCAATCAATCAAAATTACACTCAATCAATTACAATCAAAAATAAAAAGTTTTTGGGGTAGTCGATTAAAATTGAATATCCTGTGCACATAGGTACATATATACAGGATGTCCAAATTTATGATTATACTTTTTTGGACATCCTGTATATATATATATATATATATATAAAATCTCTTCTGAAGAGCATCCAAATTTTTTGAATTTGCTATTTATATAATTGCTGCACATATGCAAATGTAAACATTTCCTCATTTGCAATTATCTTTCTTAAACATATAAACAATTCTTCATTGAATATGTAATATTTGAAAGAGAAAATTAATTTAATCATATGCATTTTAAGAAAGCATCATTAATCCTCGTCATTTTATCATCATTTATTTATTACATTAATATTTAAACTGTATGGCTTATATGCAACATACTATACGTTTTATACTTGTCTCTTCTTATTATTACAAATTTAAATAATTAATATATACACTGGTCAAAAAAAATTATCGCAACACGTAATTAATATCAAAATTTTGCGTAAATTGAAATAAGCGTATCTCCATGAAAAATTATAGTATGTGAAAAAATGTTTTTTTGTTTTAAAGGGTGAAGTCTCTATTTAAGAAACTTTCGTTTGATTTTGATTTTATCCTTTCCCCTTCTCTCCATTTCTTTAAAAAGTAAGGTGTTTTTTTTTTCAAAAAATTGCAAAATTTGACGAACTCTACGGAGTGAAATAAATATTTTTCGCAAATCTTCAATGTTTTTCCAAATTTTCGTAAAATATGGGTTTTTTCCTACAAATTAAAAAAAAAACAAAGTTTATACGATTTTTTTTCGTAGAGTTACAACATATCAAAATTGCCCATACATTTTTTTCATTTACCACCAGCATTAGCGATACCCAACGCGCACCAACGCTGATCGTGCGACAAATTGTTAATGAAGATCTTCCTCACAAAATCAAACAACTAGAAGACATTTACGTGAATGTGGTTTAACATCGCGAGTTCGACATTTTTCTCTCCAAATGTATGGATCATACATTTTGTTCATACATTAGAAGAGAAAAATGTCGAACTCGCGATCTTAAACCACGTTTACATAAACGTCTTCTAATTGTTTGATCACTGATTAGCGAAGATTCTGTGAGGCAGATCATTAGCAATTTGTCGCGTAATCATCGTTGGTGCGTGTCGGGTATCGCTAATGCTGGTGATAATTGTACAAAAATGCATAGATGACTTTGATATACCATAATTCTGCTAAAAAAATCGTACGAACTTTGCTTTTTTTTTAATTTGTAGGAAAAAGTGCATATTTTACGAAAATTTAGATAAGATTTGTGAAAAAAATTTATTTTACCTTCGTAGAGTTCGTCAAATTGTGCAATTTTTTGAAAAAAAACACCTTACTAAAGAGGGAAGAGAGGGGGATAGGATAAAATCAAAATCGAATAAAAGTTTCTTAAAGTAGAGACTTCACCTTTTAAAACAAAGAAAAGTTTCCTAATACAACAATTTTTTGCTTATTTAAATTTACGCGAAATTTTGATATTAATTGTGTGTTGCGATAATTTTTTTGACCAGTGTATAATAAAATATAATAAATAAGAAACAAATATTCTAACGAATTTAATGAACAAGTATTTACTTCTGTTATAAATTAAAGTTATAAAGTTTATGGAAATAATATTACTATAAATATATGTATATCATAATTGATATCATATATTGAATATTTTATATTTTATATATCATTTGACTTTTAATATAAAAGACATATGTGTAAAATTGTTACGGTTAAATTTTACACCACTTATTTAGTACATTAATATTACAATTTTCCACGTTTTCTTATAGTAATAATATATTAATTCACTATATATATATATATATATATATATATATATATATATATATGATATAGTTTACTAATTAATAACATATATATAGTTTAGTTTTAATATTTTTGTATATGCCACAAAAAGGAAGTAATTTTTTAATAATAGATTTGTATTATGTTAATTAATATGTGTCTCAGGCTTCTCATTAGTTTCTCTTCTCTATTTAGCAGGTGTAGTTTTGCATTAGTTGCATACGTATATATTTCTTTACAAATATTTATAAGAAATTATTAGGATGTATGTGCTATCTTTGAATTCACTATTTGTCTATTGATTACTAGTAGTATTAGAAAATATGCATATTAATTATAAATATAACTAATACCGTTTTTATGAATATGTATCTTTTATCTTCAAAATTTACTATGAAAAATTGCTTACGAGGTAATGATAATGAAAATAACACTAGTTTACAAAAGAACTTTTTTTATTATTTTAAACTAGACAAGGTATTTTTTATAGATTTTTGGATGCTAAATAAAAACGATGTCACAAGCCAATTTTTATTAGCACGTCAAGTTTTCGAAATAATTGAAATTTAATATCCAAAAATAACTCCTCGAGTAGCAAACTGACGTCATTTTGACGTCGAATGACGGGCCTTTTATCTGGGCCTTTTTGCGATATTTGAGATTTTCTTATGAAAAAACGTTATTTGGAAATTCTGATCAGACTTTCCAGATAACATTAATTTTTTTTATAAAAAAATCTTGAATATCGCTAAAAGCCATTTTTTACACATTAAACCTCAATTATTTTGAAAATCTGACGTGCTAGTAAAATTTAGTTTGCAGCCTCGTTTTCAGTATTCGAAAATTTATAAAAAATACTAGTTTAAAATAATTTTTGTCTATAAAAAAACTAGTGTTTTTTTTAATTAGAAATATATTTACGATATACAATATACAGGATGTATGAAAAGTTTCGGAGCAACAAAGTATCTAAAAAAAACTTTCATAAAAAATGTTTCTCTAACAAAAGTTGTGAAGTTTAAAAAGATCTATTTACGGACCTTGAGGAAGACCATCAAGGTCAGGACAAGGTTACCTTGAATTTTTTCAATAGAATTTCCTATTTTTTATTGCACATTCTTACAGTTTTTTTTAGACCTTTTCAAACATTACATTAAGTAATAAGCACCATTTAAAAAATTCAAGATAATCTTGTTCTGACCTTGATGGTCTTCCTCAAGGTCAATAAATGAATCTTTTTAAGTCCTGTCAACTTCAGTCTGAAATCTTTTTTTATTAAACTTTTTAAGATGTTTCGCCATTCCGGAATTTTTTATAATCTTCTATACATATACATATATAGTTAATTAGTGACATTGATAAAGGCAGCAGAAATTATAAAGTTCGGTTCATTGCATGAGATTTGCACGGTTCTTAAAAGAAATTAAGCATGAGAGACCCGTTAGGAATATAACTGAGACAGTTTTAACGGTACAGAGGTGAAAGCAGACCCAATAACTAAAAAGGACGATGCCAAAGAAGACAAAGAAAATGGCAGGAACGTGTTGCCTACAACACCAGCCACTACTGTGGTGAGTACGCTTTATACCCCCTTTTGAAGAATGTTGCAAGGCATTTTCTGTTTTCGCCGAAGCTATGAACAATTAGTTTTTTACATACTTTTATAATACGCTTACATTGTAAAATGACGTATACATACATATATCATATATCCCAAGTAGCAAACTGACGTCATTAAACATCAAAATGACGTCATTTGACGTCAAACTGATATCATTAAACGTCAAAATGACGTCGTTGATGTCAAACCCAGTCAGAAATGATCGGTCGAAAAGACGTCGAATCGATATCGATTCGACCAATTCGGCATCAATTCGATATCGATTCGACATCGATTTAATTCATTTCTAGCTGGGAAATGACGTCATGGATGTCAAAATGATGGATGGACGTCATTATACGTCAAAATGAGGTCAGTCTGCTACCTGGATGATATACGACATAGTGCAAAATCCATGAATATTGAAATAATTTGTTCTTGTGTTAGCTGTTTTACATAGGACTGATTTTTCACACGTAAAAAAGCTAGAATATGTATTTAAATAATATATACACACATATGCGATATCGAATAATGTAAAAAAAAGAAGAGACAAGTTTTCATTTCCGATCACTCATGTGCCATCATAAATCATTATTTCATCAAAATGAGTTCTCATGTATTATTTAAGACTCAAGAAATTTTGGAAAAACCTATTTTAAGATATATCAATATATATCTCATTGTTATATATTAAAAACATTTCTTTTTTAACGAATGAGATTAATTCATAGATAGCATAACGAAATTGGTATATTGACTGAATTTCCCTGCAAAGTCACTAATTGTAAGAAACTTTGACACTAATTTATCAAAACAAATCCATACCAACATCAGAGAATGTTGATTAATAAATATTTGAACACAATTTTGTACTGTCTAGAAGAAATCTCTAGAATAAATTCATCAAAGAGATGGGTTGGGTTTAGATGAGACGCTCGCCCGGGTTCTTGTTCTGTTTATTTTGAGATGAGTGTTACAGGATCGAGGTGGTCGTCAAGTGTGGATATGCCCCGCATGCGGCAACCAGGATGATGGGTCGCCAATGATTGGCTGCGACGATTGTGACGCATGGTACCATTGGTAAATAAACTCCTTATCAGTGTTGTGCTTAAATGATTTAAAAATTAGCTAGATAAAGATTAGATAAAAATAATGTAAATTTATCTTAGATAAGATAAAGATGATCTTGTTTAAAATTCCTATTTTTTATTATATATATTGAAAAAATACTTTATTATAGTGTTTTGAAAAGTTCTTGAGATGAGTTACAAGAATATGTAATAAGAAATAAGAATTTTAATTTAAAATTTTTATATTGACTTTTAAATGACCTTCAAATTTGATCCCAAGGTCAAGATCAAGGTCACCATTGGTAAATAAATTCCTTATCAGTGTTGTACTTAGATGATTTTAAAATTAGCCAGATATAAAGATGAGACAAAAATATGTAAATTTATCTTAGACAAGATGAAGATGATCTTGTTTTAAAATTTCTATTTCTCGTTACATATATTGAAAAAATACTTTATTATAGTGTTTTGGAAAGCTCTTGAGATTAGTTACAAGAATATATAATAAAAAATAGGAATTTTAATTTAAAATTTTTATATTGACTTTCAAATGACCTTGAAATTTGACCCCAAGGTCAAGATCAAAGTCAAGCCAAAAACTGGTAGTGAAAATTTAACGATGTAATAATAGAATTGGCTGATAAATCTTTTTTCAAGAGTAGCTTGATAAACTTCTATTTGAACTTGCATTGAAACGTCTGTGATTAGCCAGTTGTAAAAATAATAGACCACGGCGAATGTTAGATTGTGACGTCAGAAGCGAGAGAGCACACGCTGAAAATTCTTAAAGCAAAGTGTGCTAAAACGATCTAAAATCAGTGTTTTATCAAAATTTTTCGAAATGGTATCTAAGAATTTTTAGCGTGTTTTCTCGCCTTTGACGTCACAATTCCAATAACATGATTGTGCAAACATAATTAATAAAGGGCGATAGTTATTTAGTAATGTTAATAGTAAAATTATCTAACAAAAATTTGACATTTAAAAAGAAAGCGTAGATCTTAAACAGTGTTGTGCTTACAATTAGATGATTTTAAAATTAGCTAGCTAAAGATGAGATAAAAATATGTATATTTATCTTAAATAAAATGAAGATGATTTTGTTTTAAATATACGTAGATAAAAGATAAAATTATATTGCGATTTATCTAGATAATTTCCAGATCATATTATTTTTAAGATGCTTATGTAAACAGTTATAAAAAATGTAAATTATAAAAGGGATATAAAAATTAATATTTTTATTTATAAATTTTTATCGCTTACTGCGTGTTCTTCTACTTAAGTATTTTTATATATTATAACTCTAATATTCTCACAATATTCTCATAATATCACAATATTCTCTGTATTGCAGGGTATGCGTTGGCATGCAGGTTCCACCAGCTGACGATGAAGATTGGTACTGTCGATTTTGTATAGCGAAAAAGCAAGAGCTTCTTCATGATAAGAAGAAAAAGAAGCGGAAGAAGAAGGTGAAAGTAACGGCCTAGTATAAGCCAACCGGGTCCAATTTCGTGAGACCCGGTGTGACAATACCATTCGCTACCAAAGTTACTAAAGCGAAGGACAGCAAAATTGGCGTTAAGAGCGTAAAACTGAAGGTGTCCAAGAGCAGCGATGTTAAGATGCAGATGAAAAGAAAAGCGATAATGACTAAAGGAAAGACTGCGAAGAGCATGGTAAAAGTAAAAACTATGAAAAAGAAATAAAACAAATTGTTACGTTATACAGTGCAATTTTAAAATAGGAATGTATTATTTTTCTGAACTATAAAATGATTCTATTCTATATTAGCTCTGTCTGTACTGCATTAATAATATATATTTTTGTCTTGATATAAAAAGATAAGATGTTAATACACAGATGTCATTAACAGAGTATAACTTTACAGTTTTTGTAGACATCTTCAGTTTTCTACTTTGTATACATATTTATGCATTTTGTCACACATACTATGTAGTTTATTATACATAGTGTGGTAAAAAATTTGTAGTATATTTTCCTAGCTCTATTTAAATCACATCAATTTCTCTCTCTCTCTCTCTCTCTCTCTCTCTCTCTCACGTTATGCTTCTGTCAGACTTAACAGAGAGGATGCTTTAAAAAAAAGGCAAAAATTATTCTTCTTTTTAATGCATATATGTTATATAAATCAATTATGTGTAAAAAAATCACATTATCGTGTGTGTGTGTGTGACACACATACACACACGATAATGTGATTTTTTTACACATAATTGATTGTGACACACACACACACACAGGGTGTTTCATAATTCGCAAACCATCTTTCATGGCAAATAGAGCGTGTTAAACTGAATAGAAGTCCTGTATCATTTTGCGATATTCGCAATAATTATTGAGTTATTAACTAAAATATCTAAACGAATGAGCGGGTAGAAAGCGATAGGCCGGACTCGGTGGGCATGTCGGATATCTTATTTGTTATATGCCGCTTAGTATCAAAAGTATCATCTTACTTTTCGGCGTCGCTACATTGCTCGCCGCTCACTGCATGACGCCGCCTCTTGATCAGATAATGTTTTCTACCCGCTTATTTGCTTAGATATTTTAATAAATAACTCAATAATTATTGTGAATATCGCAAAATGATACAGGACTTTTCTATTCAGTTTAACACGCTCTATCTGCCCATGAAACGTGGTTCGCGAATTATGGGACACCCTGTATATATACTTTTTTGGATGTAAATAAATATTAATAATGATTATGGTAAGAAATGATATACATCAATTTGCAGATTGAAATAAATAATGAAGTACTTTGATAGCGATTTATTGTATAATGCTATGTCACTTATTTACTTTTAATTTATACATTAATATAATTATATGTGAGTGTATGTTTATTACCACGATTATAGCACAATCATACTGTATTATATATATATATATATATATATATATATATATATATATATATATATATATATATATACTATAATTGTGTTGCATGTATAAGGTATAAAATATAGTTTAATTCTAAAACGGGATATTTCCGAAGTTTCATTCATTTTACTTTTGAAAGATGTATAAAATATGTGATATAGATATATAAAAGACGTATAAAATACGTGAAAAATCGGAGATCGAATTTTGGAAAATGTAAATCTATGAAAAAAATATGATGGTACATGATATGTGTATATAACATTTTATAAGTGTCCCTTGTTTGAGAGATGGCTTTGGATAAGAAATAAATTATTAGTTAAATTAATATAACAATAAAAGAAGCCTCTATCATAATCAATTTATATAAATTTGCATGAAAAGATTGATTTCATTTGAAACAATTAAGATTACACACACACACGAACACACAAATATGTATATTAATTATATTGAATTGAGACATTAAATTATAACATTAAAAATACTTAATTACAATTTGTTACAATTTTGTACGTATTTGCCATGTATTTGAGCATGTGTGTACATGACAAAAATTATTTATTCAATATATATCTTTTCTTACAATGCAAACTGTAAACATATATTGAAATAAAAGCTTGTCTATTGCGAAACCAATCAATATAATGAAATGTACATATATTAATAAATAGGATATTTATAGAATACACATGCAAGACAAAATTATATCAATTGTAATATTTATTATCAATTGTAATCTCCTATTTTGTACTTGTAAAATTTAAGATATGATAAAATATGATACAAATATGTAACATTTTTTAAAATTAAATAAATTAGCATTATTTACATATGCACAATACATTTATTTATTACACGATTGAACGTACGTTATGAAACACAGACACATAATATTAAATTAAAGACATTCAAATTTCACAAATATGTCAATCCTAATGTTTCATATGCATATATAATTTTTTTTTAATAGATAATTTTTTTTACATTTGAAACATTTGATATGTACCTTATCAAACATGATTTTTTATACATAAGTTTACATAAATTAACAAAAATATTTATTACTTGAGTGTCTTAATAAAATTAATATTATCATGCTATATAAAAGTATTACAATACATAAATACAATATGATATATAACTAAATAATTAACTAATAATTTGTTGACAATACACATGCTTCAAAATCTGTGCTCTGGTAATTAATAAAAATGATAATTTTTGTATTAATACATATCTATTTTGTTTTTTGTAGATGAAACATTAAGTCCACCGGTATCACCAGATTCAAGTTGTTTCAGAAGTCGGAATAACGCGGCGGCTTCTCTGATTCGACTAAATTCAATACAAAACGCTTGGACTTCGATAAACAATTCTTGCACATTTATAATCTTATTCCTTATCAGGGATTGCAGAAACACGCAGACCAATCGTACCAGTCTGCTTTGCATATAACGATCCTTAATGGTTTCGCAAGTGGATATACAATTGCTCACATACAAATGTACAAATTCCGTCGGCAGATCCACTGTAGTAGTTAATCTGTTCACGACTTCCATTGAATGGAGGGACATCTCCATGTTCACTAAAACGCTGAAGTATTCCGTGATTTGGCTAGACTGCATCAGCTTCAATAGAACCTCAATGGCGATCAGAGGATTGTTCTCAACCAGATCCGGCAATTTGCAGGGTGTAAGTCCTATATGGTAAACGAGCTTTGGGTCGTCCTCCAGCTCATTGACCAGATGCTGCTGCTGGGGCAGCGTCAGCACACCCTTGAAGGCCTTGCCCATAAGTTTACGAGCCTCAGCACCGGCGCAATTGGACACACACATGCTGCCATCATATTCGATCGTGAATTGTGTCGGTTCTGTGACATTTAACCAGGCTATCTCATTGGCGGATTGAAAGAGAGGCGGCGCCAGTCTCAAAAATTCAGGATGAAAGCTCTGTCTGCATAACGGTAGATCCCCATCAGTGAGATCCTCCATTATACTTCTTATGGTAGTGTCATCAAACTCTGTTTCTTTGGACTGATCCATATCAGGTAGAATAATAGGAATCCCACATTTGCTGATGGATGGCAACTCGGATTGATGCTCCGCCAACTGCAATTGTAAGTTAGTCAGATCAATGGACAGTACAGAGACGAAAGAGGATTCATCCACAATCTGACGTGGCGTTTTCTTTATAATGTCCTTGTGACTGTATCCCAATAGATTGACCAACAAATTCCTTTCGCAATGAGACAGATATGGTATATGACCTGTGTGATGATTGGGCAGCTTTGAAGCACCATTATTATTGTCTTCCTGTTTCAGAGTCTGCACAAACACATTAGCAAAGGGTGTGGAAGCCAACGGTTCCCCTTTGTAGAGGTCAAACAGCAGGGTCCATGCTATAACACGCTGAACATTTTTTTGCAACAAGTCAACATGCTGCAATTGCATTAGTAATACTGTTCCCACCTCCAAATGGTCCTTCTTGGGGAAGCTCTGGTGAAGCTGATTGCAGAGACTCTCCAGGCTGGTATCCAGGTTCTCTTCCTTGAGGAGGTCCAGCAGTTTATTCAATGCCATCACAGCAAACATCTTTGCTAAACGGGAAATAAACATTTGTTTGAATGTTTCCCTTGACACAGTTTAAACAACTGCCCAAGTAGCAAACTGACATCATTTTCTAATGACAACGTTATTTTAACGTAAAATGACGCCATTAAACGTAAAAATGACATCATTAAACGTCAAACTGACATTAAATGTCAAAATGTCATTAAACGTCAAATGACGTTATTAATAGTCAAAAATGACATTATTAAACGTCAAAATAACATTAATGTCAAAATGACCTCATTAAACGTCAAAATAACGTACATTTGTCATTAGACGTAAAAAATGACGTCATTAATAGTCCAAATGACGTACCTTGCTACCTGGGTGGTTTATCATTTGATGAGACACTTATGCATCATTTCATGATGTCGTAAACGTGGAAAAACTTGCAACCGCCTCTTATGCATAAATATCTCAAGAGTGTTTACGAATAGAGAATATGCAAGTGGATGTTGTAAGATTCAAATTTGTTATGTATATGAAAGTATGTTTGATATTTTTTTTTGACTGATAAATCCACATGACCGATTCGATAACGTTTTTCAACTCTATATAGAGTTTTTAGGCCGGATCTACAACAGGGTACCTATTACGGTTCTTTGAGTGAGTTTGCTCACGAAGTAAAAATCACAAAAGTGAGAGATTTACTAGATTGTCTACGCTCCTATTGGTCGAAATCTAGTGAATCTCTCACTTTTGTGATTTTTACTTCGTGAGCAAACTCACCCAAAGAACCGTAATAGGTATCCAGGTGTAGCAAGCTCTAAGCTTTAAGAAATTCACCAATTACAGTCAAGAATGTGTGACGTCCCGCCATTGGTCGAAACCCAAAATTTTTCGCTTTTACATCATTTCTTGCGAGAACCTATATAATTAACTATTTTGAGAATGATTTAACTTAAGGTAATATTTCATGAGCAGTGAAAAGCAGCAGCAGTTTAGTAACTAATTAGTATTGTTTGGTGAATTCACAGAATTGCTGCGCTGCCCATGAAATAGGTTTCCTGCTGTTCAACAGGATGAACTTCAAACAGCAAAAACTTGCGCCGGAAGTACGTCACCGAATCTAGTTACTTTCCAGAATGCTGCTGCTTTTCACTGCTCATGAAATATTACCTTTAGAATTAGACATTTTTATTATTTATCGTTAGTAATACCGGCATAGGGAATCTTCTAGTTGTAACTAGTCTAGGGACTAGCAACGCGACCAATCCAACACAACAAGCGTATATCTATAAATTACTAGACGTCGCCATCTCTTACAATCCTAACGGTATGAACGATAAATGCGAAATATAATCAATGTGTGCAACTCTATTAATCAATGTGTGAATCCTATAATCAACATGTTTGAAATTGTATAATCTTACTTATGGAATAATTAGAATGATAAATCGTCTGAATAAATATTTTAATCACACAATGGTGAATGAATTATAAAAATTGATAAATTCTAATGACCGACTATTTGTCATAAAATATTCCATAAAATCTTTTCTTTAATTTATAAGATCACGATGCGCCTCAATTGTAATTATATTTATGGAATCTTACTATTATCAATGATTGAAACTACTCGGATTCTTGCAACTTAGTATCAGAGATGTTATTCTCCTTTTTCAATATATTTACATAAATAAGGATTCCATGAATATAACAACATTTCATCGTAACTATATAAGAATATACCACGTTTTGAAATCATAACTATATAATTTAGCAATCATAACTTCATTTCATTATATTAAAATTGTAACAACTAGAATATAGCAGAGAATTATATAGAGAACGATTTCAGAAACGTATAGAAGCTAGTGTAAGAGAAACAGGAAACAACGCTGAAAAGGACAAGACGTCCTATCACGCGTACACAACGTGTCTCATCCTTAGGAGAAGGGAAGGAGAACAAGGATTTAGCATGGGCGAGCACGAAATTCGGGGCAGTTGCCGATAGCAAGCGATTCTGGGCGTTTTCGAGTAATATATATGAACGGAGCGATCAAGACATAGAAATATATCGGACTTAGATTTGTTCACGCTGATATACGGCAAGGCCTATATACACGCGTCGCGGATAAGCTGTGATTAATATCTCTTAATTTACATTATATAATAAACCTATTATTATTTGCACAAATAGTCAAACATTAAAACAATCCTGTTTTCACCTTTCCGCCGTCTTCCACGTTGCGCTGCTGGGCATCACATCCAGATATATATTTTAAAAATATCCTACAGATTAAAATCAGAAGTGGGATTACGGGCGGCGAATTAATTTGATCGGTGAGATCGATTGTGAGTGGTGTGTCGATCACAGTTTAAGTCGTGTGAAAACAGAAGATTACTCCAAAATGGATCGCGCTAAGCTGGAGCAACTGACATTGAAGGAACTCAAGACAGAAGCGGGCAGATATCGTCTCCCTGTTTGTGAATCGCGCGAGGAGCTAATAAATGTAATTCTGCAGCATGTCGAGTTGCATGGTACGAGCGATCTGACTCAGAGTACCGACGGATCGCACAAAAGTCGCAGAGGAAGCGAAGAAGCGAATGTTCCGATGTCAGCGACGGCAATGGTACAGCTTTTTGCGGAATTCGCGAATCACATGCGATCGCAGTAGAAGCAGCTTATGGAGCAGCAGTCACGCGCGCAGGAACAGATGATGGCGCAGCAGAAACAATTTTTGCAGCAGCTTTCTCCACTGATAGCCAACGGAAGCAGCGGAGCAGCCACAGGGTCACAAGGGTCATCTTCAGGAGGAGGATCAGCGGATTGACAACGGATGCAGGATGTGCAGCAAGGAACGGCGAGACAAACCGCAATGAATGGTTTGACGCCGGGAAACGCGGTCACATTGCTGTCCACACAGATCCCGAAATTCGCAGGCACGGAAGAAGAAAATGTGCGACTGTGGATTCAGAGGATTGACAAGGTGGCGCGGGTGCACGGTGTAGGTGAGGAGATTACGCTGTTGGCAGCCTCCACCAAGCTGGTGAAAGAGGCGAAAAAATGGTATGAGACCCGCATGGGCGAAGAGTTGGAGTCCTGGGCAGACATGAAAGATGCCTTGATCAGGATGTTCGACCGGAAAGTCCCGTATTACACGATAATGCAGAGGATCAAAGCGAGAAAGTGGAACTTTACCAAAGAATCGTTCCATCAATATGCTATCGACAAATTAGCATTGATGTATACGCTAGACTTGTCCGAGAGCGATAAAATCAATCTGCTGATCGGGGGAATCGGCAAGAGTTCGTTGCGAGCGACAGCATCAACGATCTTGGCGCCGACGGTAGACCAGTTCTTGGACAGGATGAACATGGTCACGGCAGCGTCCAACGATTGGGAGAGGAAAAGTAAGGTTTCCGCAAAACCGGAGAAAATCAAGCCAGCCACGGTGACGTGCAAGGGGTGCGGTAAAATAGGCCACACGCAGCAGGAGTGCAGAATTGGGCAGATGACCTGTTTCTTCTGCAAAGAAAAAGGGCATCGTCAAGCGAATTGTCCCAGGAAGAAGAAGAGCAGCGAGACGACAACCACGGCACCCAAGCCGGCTAAGGCAGTATCGTCGGTCGAGATGACGGAGACAGAGGAGCAGACGACCCGGAGGAACGCGTCCGAGGAGACAACGGTAGGAGCGGTCGCACTGGTTCCTCGAATTCTAGAGATAAGTACCGACACAGTTATTTTGAATGAGATTAACGGTAATAATTGTAGATTAACAGTGTTAGTAGATACCGGTAGCCCAATTTCATTTATTCAGCCTAGATTGTTTGAAGAATATTTTCATATACAGGAAGAAAATAAATTCGCGTCGATATATCGATATACAGGGTTAAATAATTTACCGATTAAAATACGAGGCGCGGTAAATACTCATGTTAAATTAGAATTATTGCCAGATATTACGTGCATGATCAAATTGCACATATTAGAAACCGCTGGTTCGACCAGAGACATTGTACTAGGTCAGGATTTTCTAGACGATAACGAAATAACGTTAGTCTATCGGCCTCAACAGAAGGCGCGTAAAAACGATTTAGAATTCGGGCTAGAATCTTTCCCGACGGCTTTATTACGAATCGAAACTTGCGCACTCACGGATGATAGGAGTGTCGTGCCGAGAGAATTTCTCACAGATTTCGGTCAAGAAGCAGAGGAAAAATTACGAGAAATAATCGGAAAAGTAAAAACACGAGCGTTTGATTAATCGATGACGATTACACAGTAAAAGTAAATTTAAAAGATACATCCGAATACGCGTACGCACCTAGACGATTCGCACACGTGGAAAAAATTCAAATACGCGAAATTATAGACGATTTGTTAAAGCGTGATATAATTACGAGCAGTACGTCGCCGTATTGCGCGAGAATTGTGCCAGCAAGGAAAAAAACGGCTCAATGCGACTGTGCGTCGATCTTCGGCCGTTAAATAGTCGAATTGTAAAACAAAAGTTTTCATTTCCAATAATAGAGGATTGCCTATCGAGACTCGGAGAAAAGCGTGTATTCACTCTGTTAGATTTAAAAGATGGGTTTCACCAGATAAAAGTTCAGGAGGACTGTCGAAAGTATTTCTCATTTGCTACTCCGGACGGGCAGTATGAATATAAAAGACTTCCATTCGGGTATAGCGAATCACCCGCCGAATTTCAGGAACGGTTAATTAATATTTTTCAGCCGTTAATTCGCGAAGATAAACTTATAATATATATTGACGATATAATGATTCCGTCGGATACGGTAGAAAAGAATTTGGAAATTCTCGAAGAAGTCCTATTTACACTCAAACGGTACGGTTTCGAGCTCAATTATAAAAAAAGTAAATTCCTGCAGAGAAGCGTAGAGTATCTTGGATATGTGGTATCGGGCGAGGGAATTACGCTTAGCGACCGGCATACCAAGGCGGTCCGTAATTTCCCGGAACCGCGTAACGCGCACGAGGTACAAAGATTTCTCGGGCTAACTAATTATTTTAGAAAATTTATAAAAAATTATGCGTCAATCGCGAAACCGTTATATAACCAATTAAAGAAAACGACTAAATTCAATTTCGACAAAGAATGTGTAACGGCGGTTACACTGAAAAAAATATTAACATCCTATCCTGTCTTGCGACTTTATAATCCAGCCGCAGAGACGGAATTACATACGGATGCGAGCGCACAAGGATTAGCAGCTATTTTGCTACAAAAACAAGAGAAAGGAGTTTGGGCTCCTGTAGCGTATTTTAGTCAGCTAACTAATCAAGCCGAAGCGAAATATCACTCATTTGAATTAGAAATGTTAGCGATAGTTCGAGCAATTGAACGTTACCATGTATATTTATACGGTATAAATTTTACCGTAGTTACCGACTGTAACGCGCTGGTATATGCGGTAAACAAGGCACACATTAATCCGCGGATAGCGAGATGGACTTTAGCGCTTCAAAATTATCATTTTAAAGTAGAGCATAGACCTGGGCGTCGAATGGCACATGTCGATGCATTAAGTAGACGGGTGGCTTATGTAAACGCTTTACCGATAGAACGAGAATTAGAATTTCGGCAATTACAAGATAAACGAATTCAAGAAATAGCAACCGAAC